AACACAGGAAAAATTTGCGAAACATTACGGTTTTTCAAAACTTCCGCCAAAACTTTCAAATTTGACACATTTGACAGGCGTACCAATTTGTCACTACTTGATTGCTTTTCTAGCGTTTTTAACCAAATTCTTGCATTTAAAGAGGAAGAACGCCAACAAATACGTTATTTATAACTTTTGTGTGTGTTTTCTCCTTCAATAAATACATTTTTGGGTGTGAATACTGAGTTTAAGTGTGCCATGAAACGTGAAAAATTAGTTGGCACCACTGCGTTTTGGTTATTTTGTTAAAATAATAATGTGAAAAAAAACATACCTGTTAAAATTTCAAGTGTATTCTCAATTCCTCAGCTAATTATCGAAATTTTCGTTTATTTGAATTGGATTTTCCCGTGCGCATGCGCATTTAGTCTGTCAAACATCTGTCAAACCTGTCACTCGAAAAAAATTCCATTGCATAACACATCTTTTGCGATTGAGAAAATGTGGAAGCCGACGAAAGTCCAATCATACCTGAAAGCGGCCAACCAAGTCGTGAGTAACAACATCACGCCTTTGAAGCCCCCCGCCGTGATAGCCCCGAAGCCCGTAACCTTGCTCCCCCAAACCCCCCAGTGCAGTTTCACCCTCAGCCAGCTCCTCCCCGAGGGTAAGGTGCGCGTTTCGAGTGGCCCCGCTGTGAGCACCCAAGTGCGATGGGCCCACACCGACATCACCGTCCCCGACTGGTCGCAGTACCGCCGCGACCCCGTCAAGGCCCCCACGGCCAAGAGCACCGACTCGGAAGACAGCCGCAAAAGCTTCACTTATCTGATCGCCGGCGCCGGGACTGTCGCCACCGCCTACGCCGCCAAAGCCGTCGTCACGCAATTCGTCTCCTCGATGAGCGCCTCCGCTGATGTCTTGGCTTTGGCCAAAATCGAGGTCAAGCTTGGGGACATCCCCGAGGGGAAATCGGTGACTTTCAAATGGAGAGGTGAGTGGTTGTATTACATAACCGGTCAAGGGCATTATTCTAATTGAAAAATTCCAGGGAAGCCCCTATTTATCCGACACAGGACAGCGGAGGAAATCGCAACTGAGCAAGGTGTCAACGTATCGAGTCTCAGGGACCCCCAACACGACAATGAACGGGTCAAGAAGCCAGAATGGTTGGTTATTTTGGGGGTGTGCACCCATCTGGGTTGCGTACCCATCGCAAACTCGGGAGACTTCGGGGGGTACTATTGCCCATGTCACGGCTCTCACTATGACGCCTCAGGGCGGATTCGCAAAGGCCCGGCCCCCCTTAACCTAGAAGTACCCTATCATGAGTTCACCGATGACAGCACCCTCGTAGTAGGCTAATTAAATTATTTATTGTGGTAAGCTACAAAATAGTGTATTTACTACAACCAAAAAGTGATTAAATAAATGGTTAATTTTAGTCAAGGTGAACAATAACCACAACCACATTTTTCCTTTTATTTTACTCTTATAAATAAATACAACATAGAAAAAATATTTCTTAAAAATTCTTGATGGAAAAGATTGTTGTTTGAAATGTTCACAATAATATAAAAAAATAAAACCTTCAAAATTCACCAAAAAGTACTTAATTATTGCAAACATTTTACACTTTTTTCTCGTTTTCACACTCAATCAGGTCTTTTTTAACGGGTGAAGCATTTAGAATTTCATGAAATGATTGTTCGAGGCAATGTTTTAACTCGGCATACGACACCACTAACATGCTTTGTTCGTCTCGCGACATTAAACAAATCTGAAAAAAATTATTAATAGATAGTAGGTGAAAATTATTTATGCCCTAATAAACCCTTTTGGTACCTTTTCAGGGACTCCAGCATCCAATTTATTTAAACATTGTACTATATGTGCCATATCGACCCAAGGACGGCCATCCTCTGTCACTTGATGAAAGACATAATCCCTAAATAATTTGAGCATGTATCTGTCACCTGTCTCGGCCCAAGCCCCATCCATATTCAATCTAGGGGAAAAAAAAATAAAAAACTAAACAAAAACCACCAAATTATTACTCAGGTCGCTCGTTAATCGTCCCCAACTTGGTCATAAGTCTAAAAAGCCGCCCATTTTCAATCTCCTTCGACAACTCATACTCCAAAACCTCGATATAACTGTGCAAATTGTCCATTTGGGTGTAAAATCGCGCCCCAATCATCGGCATCAAATCCGTGATGCTTTTCCTCTGTTGTGGCGATAACAGATACCTGTAATACCGACTTACACATCACACTCAATTGTTTTGTATCTACTAACATGATCAAATTTCTAAGATCGCTGGTGTATGAACGACTGATGATATCCACAGCTGTGGATATATTCTCCCTTTGCACAGCCACCGTTGATTTGCACGCTAAAGCTAAAACTAATTTACCCAAAGCTGTCAAATCCTCTTGTTGGTAATGCTGGACTAAGGCTAGGGGATTTACCGATGCACTGTTTTCATTCAAAACTACATCCATAACACCTAAACAACTCAATCTTAAACGATTTTTTGACGTGATGATTATTTTCGTCGGATCGAGACTACGACAAGCCAAGCCTGGTGAATAAAAATTGTGAGAAATTAAAAAAAAATGACAACATTGCACTTCACCTGACGAATGTATCAAACGTAAAGCGGAAGTGAGCTGAATGATGTAATTCCAAATTAAAAATTCCGGAAGTTTGTTGTTTTGTTGGTGTCGTAATATACTGTTTTTCTGATGGCTGTAAGGTCTAGGGGACGTGTCGGGGGCGAAGGGATCGGGCTGATCAGACGAAAAATACTTACTAAGAAGTGTCTCCGATCCGGGATAATAATCATAAACAAAAATCAATGCTAAAAACAATTTTCAAACACACAAAAAAAAAAAAAAATTAAAAAAATACAATTATCTCCAAAGGCTTTAGTAGTGAAAACTTCTTGTAACTGTACAATATTGGAATGATTCAAATTTTTCCACAAATCAACCACCACCATACACTTGGCATTCTGGAGCCGAAACCCTAAACGAAAAAATTTAAAGTCGGTATTACAGTTTCCTGTACTCACCATGTAGCCGTCTCAAGCAATACGGCGTACCGGTTTTAGTATGAATCGCTTTGTACATGGATGCTTGGTACCCCAAATGTGTCTTATGAAGCGAATTACTCGGGATACGTTCCAGGGGGCACAACTCGTGGTAATTCTCCACTTGAGGCAAGTCTACAAAAATTGACGAGTCGCACATGTCAATAACACCGACAGTTACCATAGTAATGTATTGTAACTATAGCAACCACATACAAGTTGTCATAGTAACAATAAAACCAGTGGCGTAACAAGTCGGTAAAACAGTTACCTGCATACTGCTGATTGGCCTGCATGAGTGTCAACGCATTGCGATTCATCAGCTCCAATTGTAGGTCTTTTGATATGAAAAACGAGGCGCTTTGCTTGGACTTGAGTGATGTAATATGGTTGGGGGTACCGGGGTAGACATTGTATTCCGAGGGCAGATTACTAACCGCGACATCAGTGGCGTGACAGGTTTCCGAAGTGGTAGGGTAAAAGTATGTCGTCCCGCCGACATTTTCCTAAAATCGGGTCCTGTATTACCGACTTTGAGCGGCCTTACAGCCTACCTGATATGCCGCAACAGCAATGTTATTTGCATCAGACATGGGTGAGGAGCGATTGGGTGAAGTGGAATTTTCTGGGTGGTCAATACCACTCGAAACGCATCGAATGGGCGATGGGTCCAGGGTCGGGGTGAACGAGTTGAAAATATTGGGTGAAGCTGAAAACAAATGATTAGATAAAGTGGAGGTCAATAGGTCCAGCGTCACGGAAAAATCAAACGGTTTGGGGGGTTCAAGGCCAATACCTGGAGCACTGGACACGAGACTCGCCCCGGCGACACATTGGGGCTTCTTCGACTCGATATTCAACTTGCTTTGAAACGCCTGATGCAAATTGGAGTTTTGAATGTTCTACAAAAGACAATTTCATGATTGAAACGACACGAAGACACGTTACCATGTAATTGGCCAGTTTGGACTCCTGGGGGACCCCATTCGTTTGGGCGAAGCGGTAATAAACCGGATGATCCATGAAATTCCCTGAAACAAAGAGTGTTACAATATTGAAACCCCTCAACGTACAAACGCACAATTCTAGCAAAAATCATCCGATTGACACATTTCACACAAGAAACCTGAACGAATTCTCGCTCCTTGACTGAAATAATTCAACTTCTATTTACTTTCTTTGACACCTGAAAATTTGCTGAAAATAATCGCCATTTTGTTTGACTTGTCAATGACGTAAAAAAATATTTGTCGCAATTTCAACAAAAAAGGCAGTTTGAGGGGGAAATCACACGGAAACGGCATAAATACCTGACAGATTTGTACAAATGATAATGATAACAAGCCGAAAATAAAAAACGAGTGATAAAACACGCACTTTTCTCGTCGTGAGGTTGGTAGAGATTGGCAACACTGATGGCGCGGGCGCCAAATTTCAATTTTCACCATTTTTTATTTAATAAACTCTACATAACCAACAATTAAATAAAAATTTGACTAAATTATCCACCCCCTTGAAATAATAATCAACTAGAATGTCTCCCATTCCGTTCCTTCCCCTCTTTCAGTAGTTTATACGCCGGTAAGTAAAATTCGCTTCCATCAAACGGGTCGTAGCATTTAAGAGAGGGATTCCGTTCCGTATTTACGGTATTCCCCAACGAGGTGAACCCTAAATCGTACAATTTGCAATACGGTACTTTATATAACAGTAAATAGTCCCAAATGTCTGAATAATGCCAATCCAGGACCGGACTAACTCTGAGTATTTGGGGCCAATTAGCATCAGTCATCTGTAACCAACTGAGAAAAACAAAAAATACTAAACTCGGGGAAAATACCTGAAAAACACTTAAATCACCCGAAAACGGATCTGTCCGTCTCGTCCCCATAAAACAAGCCTTGTAGTTGGGAAATTGTTGCAAAGTGTGCGCTAAAGCGTCCTTAATCCCCGACTTGAGTGTCATTATTTTCAAATTATAGTAACATTTACACAAGTCAATAAACTCGTCCTGTTCGGGAAAAGGACTTTCACTTTGAACGTAAAGACAAGGAATTGGGTGCGAATGTTGAGGATACTTTCTCCTAACGACTGTTAAAACCAAATGGAGCAAAACAGTGCAGTCTTTACCGCCGTTGAAACTCACAAAAATGTTCTCTAAACCGAACTGTTGCAAACAATTTTCAATATTCTAAAAACAAATTGAGTTATTTCATCAAATGTGGAGTAAATCTCACCTTACTTCAATCGCATTTTTGATGTGTTTTTCACCACTGGAGTAGACACGCCCCCAAACGTCTGAATTATCGACGAATTTCGCATAATTGTGAAACTTTTCGGCGATTTTGCGCTGAAATTCCACCATTTCACGCAATTCAGGACTCGAAACATTAAAAATGTAACTCTTGTCATTTTTACTAAACTCGATTTGAAGACTATTATTGGTTTTGAACTCGTTTAAATCAAACGACAAGTTTCCATTCTTGTTAATCTCGATGATTTTTCGGAAATCTCGCTCTTTTCGGTACTCCATGAGGTGATTTTTCAAAATTTTCGTGAAACTCGATTTCAGACACTTCTCCTTCAAAATAAAAATCCTCTGGAAGTGAACTACGGGGTGACAGTGCCCCGTGTGCAATATTCTAGCTTGTCGGGGTAGTAAAATATCGGTTTTACTAAAACTTTCCCCAATTTCAGTGAGTATTCGAGTTAAATCCTCACTAGTTTCTAGTTCTTGGGTTGTCATTTTGCCAAGGGTTTTGTAAATTGAGCCACATGTCTCGCCCACTGCCACTATCACGTCGAATGTCCTTATTAGTGAGTGAAATTCGTTACAAATCACCTCTACTCGGTCACTTATCGTCGAGACTTTGCCCACATTGAAGCCCAAACAAGTCAATTCTTTGATTAGATATTTACTAAAAGTGTCGGTTTTCTCGCCGTGGAGAATCTCGTCACTGATTAAGATGACACCCACGGTTTTCAACGACATTTTGCGTCGCATGACACGCAATGGTTTGCCCCAAAAGCGAGACTTTCACAATGGGGTTTTTTCAAGTTTGACTGACATTTGGAGGTTAGGGTGACGGTGACACTTGTACCAACTTGTACAGAATCAGAGAAAATCGTGTTTATTGAAGACTAAAATAGTGATGAAACAAACATTTTTGACTAATTTGTGATTAGTTAAACACTATTAATAATTCACGAATGCATTCTTGTAAGTCTCACATACACAAATAATTAATTAAGTAATGGTTTCTTATTGTTAGATTTCGTAAATTTTAACGTTCAAAATTAGAATTGTGATAAAAAAAAACAATTTTAGTAAATTTGTGATTGACAAACCACTGAAAACAAATGACCAATACATATTTTTACGTTTTGTGTGCAGTGATAATTAATTTAGGGTTGTTTGTATTACCGGATTTCGCACACTTTGGTGTTCGCTGAATCCGTACCTGTCAAAATTTTTGAACCAAAATTTGTAATAATTTTTGGGTTAAGATGAAAATAGCGGTTGAGGGTTGTGCCCACGGCGAATTGGAGACAATTTACGACACTCTGCAATATCTCGAGCAGAAAGAAGGCTTCAAAATCGACTTGTTGCTTTGCTGTGGCGATTTTCAAGCATCTCGCAATGAAGCAGACTTGCGATGCATGGCGGTGCCCCCCAAATACTCCAACATTTGTTCATTTTACAAGTAATCAAGTTGTGGTCATTTCGCGTGTCACTATTCTTGTTTTAGGTACTACACCGGGCTGAAAACAGCCCCAATTCTCACGATTTTCATCGGGGGGAATCACGAAGCGTCTAATTATCTGCAAGAGTTGCCGTATGGGGGCTGGGTTGCTCCCAATATCTACTACTTGGGGTACGCCGGCGTGGTGAATGTTGCAGGTCAAAATCACGGTTTTGTTTCCTTTGGTTAAAGTTTGTTCAGGTTTGAGGATTGGGGGCCTTTCGGGGATTTACAAAGGACAAGATTACATGAAAGGTCATTTTGAGGCCCCTCCTTATAGTGACAGTTCCAAACGTAGTGTTTATCACATCAGGAATTTGGAAGTTTTTCGATTGAAACAATTGTCTCAAACTTTGAATGTTTTTCTCTCACATGATTGGCCCTCGGGGGTTTGGGAGTACGGGGATAAGGCACAATTGATCCGTTTTAAGCCTTTTTTTGAGTAAGATAAAAATTGCAATGATTTTGTAATTTTTAGTATTTTTTTAGGGATGATATCAATAGGGGTCACTTGGGTAGCAAACCAACTCAAGAATTGTTGAATTTTTTGAAACCAGATTACTTTTTTTCGGCCCATTTGCACTGTAAATTCGCAGCAGTGGTGCCACACGAGTGTGGGAAAGTCACTAAATTTCTGGCTTTAGATAAGTGTCTTCCCAAGAGGAGATTTCTCCAAGTTGTTGACATACCTCACGATGCGAATTTGAAAACTGAAATTTGTTACGATTTAGAGTGGTTGACTATTTTAAGACTAACAAATCATCTCCTAAGTGTTAAAAATGTGACGAATTATTTACCAGGGGCTCATGGCAATGAGAGGTAGTTTTTAAGTGAAAAAAGCAAACAATTTTTAGTTGTTTTTCCAGGTGGTGTTTTACCCCAAATGAGGAGGAAAAATCGTTCACTTTAAACCAGTTTGGTGATTTAGTCGTACCAAACAATTTCGAGAAAACATCTGAGGGTTATTGTGGTCACAAAACGAAGAATTTCACACAACCAGAGCCAGTTTGTAACTCGCAAACTGTCTCGTTTTGTAACAAATTATTAATCGATGATCCTTTAAGTTTAATTATTAATTTAAGTACAAATAGTGTTATTGACGATAGTAATGTAAGCAAAACACCGAGAAAACTTGTTTTACCTCAACCAGTGAATGAAAGTGAATCATTTGAGGAATTTTTTTCAGCTGAAGTGACTGAAACTGAAATTGAGGCTCCAGTTGAAGAACAATTAAACTCGAGTAAAACATTTAAGAGAAGAAATGCGTCAATTTATCAAAAATGATTTTTTGTAAATAGAGTATTTCGAAAAGCCCGCTTTTGTGTTGCCAACCGTGCCCACCCAAACTTACTAGATTTGTAATTTAGACCATTTAGACAGTTGACAGAATGGGACGTGAAAACTAATCCGTGTGTTTAATATTTTTGTTATTGCTGTAAAAATGCTAATTTTCGGTTAATATTGCAACGATTTATTACAAGTATGAAATAGCTGAACCATGGATTCAGAAAAATAGTTTTACCCCAACCAAGAATGAAAATCACACGTTTGAGGAATTTTTTTCAGCTGAAGTAACTGTTGAAAAATCAATTAAACACCAGTTAAACAATTAAGCGAAGGAATGGATCAATTTATCGAAAATGATTTTTTGTGAATAAAGTATTTCGTAAAGCCCGCTTTTGTGTTACCAACCGTGCCCACCCAAACTTACTAGATTTGTAATTTAGACAGTTGACAGAATGGAACGTGAAAACTAACCCCGTGTGTTTAATATTTTTATTATTGCTGTAAAAATGCTAATTTTCGATTAATATTGCAATGAATTTATTACAAATATGAAATAGTTGAGTCATGGATCCATTCGAGACAGTAAGTAGCCCCAAAATTGCCTCCCTAGACTTACATAATTTTGTCCGATTTTGCATCAAAAGTGAGTAATTTTCGTTATTTTAGCACAACATTACGTTCCTGGACCTCAGCGGGGTTGACGAGCCAGAACGGCAAGAGGTTTTGGATTCTCTGTACGCCGAGAATGTAAATGTGCAGCTCCCATGGAGGGTCCCGGAACAAAAGACCGGTAAAATGGCTTTTCATTCATAAAAAACTCGAATGAGTCAGCTAAAAAGATTTTTTTTAAATTTGGCAACCTTGTGTGCCAAATTCAAATGTCATTCAATGTTGCCAATCTCGTTTCAGATGTCAAAACTCGGTTCACCGCCACCGCTGACCACCCCCAGGTCGTATCCCACCCGCCGGTTTACCTCAACGCCTATATGCCGCCCCCCGAGCCACCAATGTATCACCCATACTCGCAATACGTGCTGTATCTGCCCCCAGTCGTAACATACACACAAACCGCCCCCAACTACGACTACATCACCGACGAGGAGTACAACCAGGCGTATGTGCCGCCCCCAAGCGCCACCCCTGACCCAAAACCCGAACAAAAGAAAGAGTCTGATCCTAATTGTAACGGGGAAACGACTCCAAACAAAGTGAATAAATCCTGGGCGAGTTTATTCAATAATTCGAAAAATTCAGGCGCGATTAATGGAAACGGTGTCAATGAGAAATCTTCATCAAACGAGGCTGTGAATAAACAAAACGTTGATAATAACAATGGTGAAGATCCAATCAGAAATCCCAGAAAGGCCAAATTCATCGACCCAAATTGCTACAGAATGGGGGGTAAAATAACTAAATTAAGAAATTTTTAACCAATTAATTTGTTTTTTCTTAGAATTCTTGTTGAATTATACCATCGATGGAAGAACTATAAGTTTACAGCCACGTGGTTTGATAAATAAGAGCAATTATTGCTATATTAATTCCATTTTGCAAGCACTTTTAGCTTGTCCTCCTGTTTATAATTTACTAGTTGGCTTATCGGAACAAAACACTACCGCTCAGAAGGAGAAAGCCACGCCCATCATTGACGGAATGTAAGTTACGTGAACCGAAATAGCCAATCGCCAACTAACGTTACTATAGTAACTAGTATGATTCTTAGCCAAGTCGCAAATCTTTTGTTTTAGGTGCCGTTTCGTGAAAGAATTTCAACATTTACCAGCCGGTTTGCGTGTAAATCGACGAAATGATAAAAACCAAAAGAAGGAACAAGGCGTAATGATCGATTATGATTTACCATTTGAGCCTTCTTGGATCTATAAAATGTTGAATGGTGTTAGAAGTGATTTGTTTTTGGTGGAGGGACGTCAGGAGGATGCTGAAGAGTTTTTGGGTTGTTTATTAAATGGACTGAACGATGAAATGCTAGAAGTAATGATAATTTTCAAATTTAAGTTTTTATTAATTCAGTTTTTTTTTTTTTCAGTTGATGAAATTGGTGAAAAGTGACCTAACGATCAATAAGTGTGAGTCGAAAGCTGGGGATCACGAATCAGATAAGGAGTGGCAAGTTATGGGACCAAAAAATAAAGGTAATATTTTTGTTGAGTAGCCAATGTGCAATGCATGTGTGCAATGTTGGTTGCTTAACTTATTTTTTTAAATTTTGTTTAAAGGTAGCATAACGCGTCAAATGGAGTTTGTGAAGACGCCGATTAGTAATATTTTCGGGGGGTTTCTCAAGTCGAGGATTCACAGGGCGGGGGACCATTCCACTTACAACATCCAGCCGTTTTTCACTCTCCAATTAAACATCGAGGTAATTATTATATTTTTTCTACAACAATTACAATTTGAGTTTAGAAAGTGAAAACTGTGCGTGAGGCACTTGAGGCTTTGGTTTCGAAGAATCAACTAGAGGGCGTTACGAATGAAAAGACTAATGAGGAAGTGGAGGCGTGGCAACAAGTCACTTTGGAGGAACTTCCGGTTATTTTAATTTTGCATTTAAAGTGTTTTGATTTTAAGCTAGATGGATGTACGAAAATTGTCAAAGCTTTGGAGTTTCCCATCGATTTGAAAATTGATTCTAGTAGGTGGTAAGTTTGGGTTGGGGGATTTTTGTGGTTAATTTTTGTGTTTGTAGAACTGTTATCTTCCAAGCCAATGTCGCCGAAAGAGAAACAGTATAAATTATTCGCCGTCGTGTATCATGATGGGAAAGAAGCAACAAAAGGGCACTATATTACAGATGCCTTTCATGTCGGTTATAGCAGTTGGATACGATATGATGACGCGTCGGTCAAGTCAGTTCAAGAAGACTATGTTTTGAAGCCACAAGGAACTAGAGTTCCCTATTTGTTATTTTACCGTCGTAGTGATACCATTAGAAGCAAATAAACATACATTTGGCCTATTAATAATTGTTAATAAGTAAACTTATTTTAATAAATTAACTTTATATAAAGTTGCATCTTTTCAAGACTTGCTGTAATGAAAATCTTGATTTTGCAATGCTTGTTTCTAAGTAGAAATAGACAACGTGCAATACAAGTGTGCATTGCTGGTTGCCTAACCTTCAAATAACAATTGCAAGATTTCTAAAAAACGTTAATAAGATTTATAAAATACATTTTGAAGCCTTATTATAATTGTTGCATTTTTAAATATGATTTAATTTTCCACCAAAAAAAAAAACGTGACTGGAAACACTCCTTTTCATAAAAATGTCAAAATTTTGTTATTAAAAATACAATAATTATCTTATGATAATTACTTTATAGTAACAAAAAAATTTTTAGAGACTATATACATTTATTAAAACTTTTTCAATAATTGTTACTAATTAAATAATACTTTTTATTCTTTGACACTGTCAAAATTTACGGTTTTTCTCCCGTGTAAGGAAGTTTTGACAACTGTTCGACATTTCTCAATACGAAACATCAGATTATTTTTTTTGAAAGATTTAAAGCAAGTTTAAGCCTTGTTGAGTCTAATTCGAAAAATAAAATGTTGTATGCAACTCAGTTGAGTGTAAATCGGACGCTTTATTCCACCTCGTGGATGATAAACCACTCGTTACACTCGTGTTTTAAAAATCCACTCTGTGAAATAATGCGTCCGTTTTACACTCAAACTCGTAGAATAAATAACTATAATTACACAATTTTTGCCCATTTAGGGAACATGTAATGCTTTGGTGTATTGTTAGTTGCCTAATGTTTGTTATTTTTTTTTAATTAAAATTGTTAATAAACTCTTTACCGAGCCTTTTATTTTATTCTTAACAGTAAGATATAAGATAACTTATATTTCACTCTTAAACAACAAATTATTGCTCGATATATTTTCATACTATACAAAATGCCCCTCATTAATTAATATTTATTTATTTATTTCTCCAATAATAATAATTAAAACAGTCAAGAGAGTGGGATGGCTTAAATTTTCTCTTGTCCATCTTCACGAAAATCTAAAATTAATAATTATTTCAATAAATTAACTTTATATAAAGTTGCATCTTTTCAAGACTTGTTGAAATGATAATATTGATTTTTCAATTCTTGTGAGCAACACGCGAAACACATGTGTATTGTTGGTCACATGGTCCCATAAAAATAAACGTGTCTGGAACTACTTTGTTTTTTAAATGTTATTAAAAATATCATTTAAGAAAACTTTTTTAGTAATGACTAATATGTATAATATTTTTGTAATAATTGTTAATCACCTAAGCCCGCCTAGGTAATATGTAATGCTTTGTTGTATTGCTGATTGCCTGACGTTTGTTACTTTTTTATTGTAAATAAACTAATAAAACTCTTACTTTTCACCGAGCCTTTTACTTTACTATTAACAAATGTATTTATGTGGTAATTTGTATTTTGATTTAAAGCAAAACAATTATTCCTTAATATATTTTCACACTATTTACGAAATGCCCCTCAATTGATATTTACTATTCTTATTTTTTTTAATAATAATAATTCGAACAGTCGGGAGAGAAAAATACTTTAGATATTCTCTTATCTATCTGCACCAAAATCTGAAATTAATATTTTGAAACCGTTTTATGAAAAATAAAAACTCCTTTTTTATTTCTTCTTTTTTGGACATTTTATTGGAACCCCAGGCTATGAATAATGTTGTAAAAATACATCCATCCGCATGTTGAAGGAAGTAGGAAAACTGGTTCTACGGTTGTATTACATTTTGAAAGTCCACCTTTGATATGCTGTAATAACCCAGATGAATATTACGTCTGCCTTCTGAACGGTGAACTTAGTCTTGTTTATGCTCTAGTGGTGTCTGTTCCTCGCTTTTGTTGAAAAAAAAATTTACTACAGCACGACTTTGTTCATCACATAGCTTGCGGTTGTTGCAAATCGGTGAGTTATTCCGTCAAAATTGTGTTAATTATAAGTTGGATTGAAAAAAAAAAAAAAACCTTGACATTGGAGATGGGGAATTATTTTTTTCCCAAATTTCTCACATTTAAATGTGTAATAAGCGCCAACTTTCTAATGGAAAAATTCGCAGAAATTTCTTTTTCACTATTATTACATTAATTAAACCCAACCCAGTATTAAATTAAATTGAGGTGGTCGACTTATAGAACATAACGGTTTAAATAGTGAGCAATTTTTTCATATATTTGTGCTAAGTGCACACTTTTTTAATGGTCAAATATTTGTTAATAAGTGAATAAAATAAGTCAAAAGTGCCGCCGAATTGTGCAAACGCAAGTTTTAAAGCCGAATTAAGTGAAACTTTGGTAAATAAAGAAAAAACATTATTGTTTTACATAATTAAAATTCGGACAGGTTCACCTTGGCCTTGACGTCAGTGCAAAAAATGGGTTATGAGTTTTGTCCCCAAGTCCATCATTGGACAACAAATTAAAGAGAAAATTAATGTTAATGGTTTATTAATTGATAATTAATTGGCAAAACACCTTCAACAACGTTTTATGCACTTTTTCTGAGTCTTTAGGATTTCTAGAAATGTATTTTTTTTTTTGATTTTTGTCGATTTTTGGCACTCGGAGCGATCTAATGGCAATAACTCCGGACTTATTAGAGATAACCTCTTATATTTGGTACCGTTGGATAGAAAATTGAATTTTCTATCATATATTAAAAAGTTCACTGCTCTACGATGAATAGTTATCGAGAAAATTTCTGATAAAGTCAAAAATATCGAGAATTTAAATCCGACTATAACTTCAAAACTACTACGAATTTTGCAGTTTAATTGACGCCAATCGATTCCCCGGAACATTTTACATAGGTATACGTCAAAATATTATAACATTAAGACACAGTTTTGCCGCAACTTACAAAATAAAAAAAAGGAAAAATTTGTCACCTTAAAAACTAGTGTTTTTGAACATGTCTCAGATTCGATTMAAACCTATCTTATCCGATAGATTTTGACGCGCTAATTACGAATTTACCAATTATTTTGCGTTTATTTTTAGTTTCGCCGTAATCAGCGTTTAAAAATTCATAATTTTTTTTGCGAGATATCGACTTGGCTTTGGCCTCACTCGATAGATTTTCTTACGCTGATTACGATGGAATTAAATTCTTAGCTCTAAGTCTAATAGTTTGGCCGTAATCGCCGTTCAAAAAGTGAAAATTGTAAAAATTGTGAAARTTTAAACGCGTTTTTCTACGAAACTATAGAACTTAGAGCAAAGGGGTAAAAACCATTAAAATTAGCTTAAAATTATCTATTTACTGGCGCAAACCGGAAGTCGCTCCGGGTTATGGTTCCGGGTACAGAGCCATTTTTAGTTTTTTCAAAAAAAAATCATATCTCAAAAACTATGAGTCCTAGGTCAAAACAGTTTTTTCAGGCATGTTCTCCGGTTAATTTTACATATAGTACTAGTTTTTCATAAGAATCAAAAAATGTTGATTTTTGGTCAAAATCGGATTTAGTGCTTTTACTTTTAGCCTTATTCTTAACTTTATTACTCAATATCTCAAAAACTTTTTGAGTAAAAAAAAATGTTAAATGGAACAATTTTAAAGTTGAAATTTTTTTTGATTTTTGGCACTCGGAGTACCAGTTTTTCATAAAATTTACAAAATATTGACGTTTTTGTTGTAGGTAACCGTAAATTGTCTATTCCTACAATTTTTTATTTAGTATTTTGAAAACCATTCATCGAAATTAACAAAATGGAAAAAAGTAAAAAAAAATTGAGCAACCCCCGTATAATATTGAACGTTATTTTTTATAGTTTCTATGGAAACATTAGTAGTATTACATGTGCTAACTTTACAGTGTTGTCAGTTGTTTACTTATGAAAAAAAATATTTTGCATAACTAGAAGTTCAAGTACAATTCTTGGAACAGTCTGTATTGAAAAAAAAAGTCTTTTGAGACATTTTTTTAGTCTCTAGTAGTACTTAAAACAACAATAAAATTTGACCTTGAACAGAAAAATGCTTTTCTCATTAACTAGTTTTTTCTTTTCATGAACAAATTAATTAAATCGAAGTTATTGGCAAGAATTGTGCAAATGTTGACATCATAGTTCGCAACTCGTATTTAATTGTTTATTTTAAAAATACGAAAACACTTTTTGCAACATTTTATGAGGTGCAAAAACTCATGTTTTTTAATAAATTGTGCAAGTTTTGGTAAAACAATTTCACCAAATAATTAAAAATAAACACAACCATCAAGTACATATGTCGCAATAATGGGCAATTACCGTAAAACTGTGTAAAATAATAAACACTTGTGTGAGTTTAGTTGGTTTTAAAGCGTCATTAAACTTTTGTTCAGGTAATTTCATTGCAACGGTAATATTTTACTTCAAACAAACTAGATGTCATGATAGGAAATAAATAACTCGTTTAAAAAGCCAAACTCATAAATAATTGAGGTAGGTAAAAACTGACAAAACAGAGGTCAAATTTCTATTTATGTAATATTTTTATAAATGAAATTTGAAAGTTGAGTTGTTGCAAGAGTCGGTGGAAAATTTTGGACATTTTACGCAATCACCACTTATTTTCTCCAATTTGTTGCAGGAAATCATGTCGAAAAACTCGATAGTGGAGTGGTACAATGGCAAGTCGATTTTCATAACCGGCGGAAGCGGCTTTATGGGCAAAGTCCTTATCGAGAAGCTGTTGTTTTCGTGCACCGGAGTCAAAGAGATCTACGTTTTGATGCGCTCCAAAAAAGGAAAAAGTCCGGTGACACGGATTCAAGATATGTGGAAATTACCTGTAAGTTGTGTTGTTTGGGCGCAATTGTAATATCTTCCGGGTGGAAAGGCCGCATTACCACCTTTCACAAAAAGGCACTCATTTTTGCACCAAGTGTTGCAAAAGGACAAATAAACGTCTTATTAATCCTTGACAGTTAGGAAACCTCTTTCCATATCATTAAATTTACGTTCAAAACAAAACAAAATTTACTAAAATTAGCTAAATAGAAAGTTAACGATGCGAAAGCATAAATCTTGGATATTTCAATACTAATGGAATACTAATTATGCACTCGTTAAATTTCCCCTTTTTCGTCCTAAACGAGCCGCACATGTCGGGGGAATTGTATCGTTGCTATAGGAACATCACCGTAACTATAGCAACAAAAATAAATTCCGTTATTATTACGATGGTAACAATAGAAATTCCAGTGGAGGGTAATTTTTTTTTCCGTTTCCAGATGTTCGCTCGTCTGCGCGAATCGCAGCCCGAGGCAATCAAAAAAGTGGTCCCTGTCGTCGGAGACTTGAACAGCGAAGGCTTGGGTTTGAGCCCCCACGATTTGAGTTTACTTGTCACTAATGCCAATGTGGTGTTCCATTGTGGGGCCACCCTCAAGCTTGAGGCCTCCCTCAAGGACGCCGTTGAACAGAATACTGCAGGGACGGCTCGAGTCATTGACGTTTCGAAACAAATGAAACATTTGTGCGTTTTTGTGTATTTTAGTACGGCGTTTTGTTCTGCAGATATTGACGTCTTTGAGGAAAAGGTATGTTAATTGTGATTTGGTAATAGTTGGCAACAATGATGGGAATTTGATTGAGCTTGAACTCAATTAGGGGTAATTACCGTAAGTGAACTTGTCGCTGCGTCCGCTTTCGGTTTCATTGATGACACGGATTTTACGTTGCCTATTGAGTAACCAAATTTTTTTACCCAAGTTGAAATATCACACTAAATGAAAGCAAATTATGAGAAGGAAGTACTTTAACGAAATTTGGGCAGGATTTTAGATAAAGAACGTTTATTTTACGCAATTGACGAAATTTTTCATACCAACCTTCAAAAAGATGGTTTGTGACTCAGCTAATGTCAAAGAATTAAATATTCCAATTTTTGCAATAATTCGTGAAAATCTCAAATATTGAACACGAGGTGCGAGTAATTTGCTTTCAATTTTTGTTTTTTTTTTACGTAATTTTCGCAAAAGGTTTGCGACTTGGCTAACGCCATAATGTCAAAATTATAAAATATTACACTTGTTACATCAAATGACGGAGAATGCATTTCAAGTGACAAAACGGTAAAATTCGATCTAAATTTCAAGAAAAGATTACAATTATTGACGAAATTTATCCCAACCTTCAAAAAAATGGTTTGTGACTCAGCTAATATGAAAAAATTAAATACTCCATTTTTTGCAATAATTATAATCTTAAGTATTTAACACCATAAGTGCCCGTAATTTGCTTTCAATTCTTGTTTTTTTTTTCGCAATTTTCGCAAAAGGTTTGCAACTTGGCTAATGCCATAATCTCAAAATTATAAAATATTACACTTGTTACACCAAATGACGGCAAATTACGACGAGGATGCATTTCAAGTGACAAAACACCAAAATTCGTGCTGGATTTTAAGTAAAGAACGTTTTTTTTTACTATTTTTGATACCAACATAAAAAAATGGTTTGCGCCTCAGCTAATATCTACAATAATTTGTGAAAATCCTAAATATTGGCCTAAATTTAGGTTTACGACTGCCGTGATAACCCCCGTGACGTGATCGAAGTGTCCCGATGGATGAAAAACGACGCCTTGGACCCCGTCACCAAATCCATAATAGCCCCCCATCCCAATACATACACTTACAGTAAACGACTCGCCGAAAAATTAGTCGCTGATGAATTAGAAAATATGAGAGTTTGTATTGTTCGACCTTCAGTTGGTAATTTCCACTAAAAATGGGGGAAAAACGGTTTTTGATGGGTGGTTTGTAGTCACGCCGGCCGTTAAGGAACCCCTACCAGGATGGGTGGACAGTTTAAACGGCCCAATGGGGCTACTAGTCGGCGCTGGAAAAGGGGTGATACGATCCATGCACGTCAAGGCCGAAAACAGGGCACAAACAGTACCCGTCGACATTGCAATCAATGCCACGATTGTGATTGCGCAAAGGATCGGCTCGAGCACGGAAAAGTGGGTATTTTCGGGGATTCCCCTTTTTTGTTAGTTGAAAATAAAATAACACGACCCGCCACTGGTGCTTGAAATTTTGTATTGTTACTATGACAACTTTCATTTAATTACCATGGTTACGTTATGTTTCTATGACAACGCAACATGGGCGCCTCGTCGAGGATTGATTTGGTTAAAATTTCAGACTGAAGGAAGTCCCGGTGTATAATTTGACCCAAGACGAGGTGGTGCCCTACACCATGGGCGAAATTCTGGACATTGGGCGTCGAATCGTCTACGAGAACCCTTTCGAAATGCAGATTTGGTACCCCGATGGTGATATTCGCTCCTCGCGTTTCATTCACAACATTTATTGCATTTTTTTGCACTGGTTACCGGCCTATTTAATCGACTTTCTTTTGTTTCTCTTCCGATACAAAACCTTGTAAGTTACAATAGTGTTTTTTTTATGTCCATTAGAGTGAAACTCTTTTTTCAGCATGGTGCGATTACAAAGGAAAATCCACGACGGGTTAGAACTTTTACAGTTTTTCACAGTCCGGCAGTGGATTTTCCGGAGTGGGAATTTTCTCGCGTTAAGTAAAAATATGACAGATGAGGAGAATAAAACTTTTCCGATGGATTTCAAAGCCGTACCTGTGGAGGAGTATTTGACCACGGCGGTGTTGGGGGCGAGGCAATACTTGATGAAGGAGGACTTATCAACAATTCCACGTTGCAGAACAAAACAAAAATTGTAAGTAATTATGAGGAATTACTGGTATTTAACGGTATTTTTCCAGTTTGTATGTTATTCATAAAATATTTGTTTATGGTATTTATCTGCTCCTCATATGGATGCTTGTGTCAATATTACCGCATTTGAAAGTCATGTTTGATGCTGCTGGACGCTATGCTCACAAGCTACCCATTGTTGGGACATTTATTTCGAAGTAAATGGTGAGGGGGAGGGGGTGTTTGCACCAGTATTGTTATATTTTGTAAATCTGAAAAAAGAATAAATATTTTTATAACTTGTCAGTTTTTTCTACTTTTACAGGTTTCTATAACATTTTCAAAGTTTGACATGAAGGTAGCAGCTTAAGTCTAATTACAGGAAAATAATATACAAACATTTTGCATTTTTTTTTTTGTAAATTATCGTTCATTGGGTAAAATTATACAGACAAAGACAATATAAAAAGTAAAATACATACATATAAAACAAATATACACAGTCATTGAAAATCAAAAAGCATTTTTAAGTCTTGTAGGGACAGTTTACTGTTAGTAACTTGTTTCGACCCTGTGAGCATGGCATTTGCAATTTCGAGTTTCCTCTCTTGAAGGGCCTTAATTCTTTCCTCAATAGTTTCAAGTGCCATAAACCTGAAACAATTGTGTAATTAGAAGAAAAGAAACAATAAAAAAACACAAACTTGTAAACATAAATATTTTTCTTTTGTCCCATCCGATAAATCCGGTCCTGTGCTTGATTTTCCAATTGAGGATTCCAGTGCAAATCTAACAGAAACAAATGATTTGCTCCAATCAAATTCAAGCCCACTCCACCAGCTGTCAACGAAAGTAATAAAACTTTAGTAGCAGTGTTTGGATCATTAAAATTATCCACAATTGGCATTCGTTTATGGACTAAAACCGAACCATCAAGACTATCATAGGGGATTCCCTCGTTCTTGAGATGGATTGCCACCAAATGTAGTAAACTAGTCCACTGTGAAACCACAATTGCTTTGTCCTCACCAATCTTCGTTTTGAGTAAATTGATTAATGCCCGAATCTGGAATAAAAAAAAATTAAGTAATGTCAAAATTATTAACACCCAATAACTCACTTTACTACTCGCATGTTCTATTGTAAAAACCGGATTTGAGGGATTCAAGTAGCCTTTTGACGCTTCTTTCAAACCAACAGCTTCATTAGCGAGACCTGTAGCAACATTTGACTCTTCTTCTTCTTCATCTATGTTTAATAGATTCAATTGTTCGAGGAGATTCAACTCTTCTGATTCTTCCTGATCTTCAGCATTGCCCAAATCTTCATGGCCTTGCAACATCTGATTTAAATTAGTTTGAAATTTATTAATTTTATTAATTCACTCACTTGTTTGATCAAACTGGGATGGCAACAAATCTGTCGTAATCGGAGTAATAAAACTACAATATGGTGTTGATTCACTTTTTGGACGCGATTCTGGGACCAACACCAAAAACAACCCTGTGTCAGGTCAGAAGCATTTTTGTTAAACTACATATTGGTATAACTGAAATACAAAAATGGGTAATTAGTTTATTATTACAAAAATCAATTGCTATTTAACCGAATTAATCTTTTTCAAAGCTGTTTTTTTCGAAAAAACTAATTTGCGCGTCAAAATTAAAAAAAGTACTGCCAACCACACACAATTTATTACTTTTATTTGGTAATGAAGGTAATTGATTTTATTTATTTATTGTTGAATAATGTGAAAGTGCTTTAAAATACCGTACCAACTAAACGCTTATTGTGATAAATTATCTAAAAAAACTTTTTCTTTGTTGAAATGACAATTTTGTTGGCATCCCTTTATTACTAAACAAGTAACCTAACCTCACAGAACCATAACCTCACATTAAAATATAAAGTAAAAAAATGTATGCAGCCTCCTTTGGGTGCTATAAGGTAAGAAACTAAAACATTGGTTTTGATAAAGAAATCATTTTATTATTACAAAACCAAGATTTGCTATTTAATCGTATTAATCTTCTTCTTTAACTTCTTCAAGGCCTTTTTCTTCGCCAAAACACTATCCATGCCCACTTTCTCCTCTTTGTTAACCGCCTCCTTGAGCCTCCTCAACGCCTTCTTATACCTCTCACTCATCCCCTCCAACTCCTCCACCCCGACCTCAACCTCCTCAATCTCCTTCTTCAACAAGGCTTTAAACGCTGGCACTTGTTCCTCATGTAAAAGTGTCACAGCCACCCCCGATTCACCCGCTCTTGCTGTCCTCCCCCCTCTATGTATATAAGTTTTTAGATATTTGGGGGCTGAATAAGACACTACACAATTCACCCCCGGCAAGTCGATCCCTCGTGCTAGAAAATCAGTACAAATTAATAAATCAATTTCACCTTTTGTGAAACTCGAAATAAACTCATCGCGGTTTTTCCCCTTCAAATTTGAGGAGATTTCCTCGATTTTTAGTCGATTTTTGAACAGCGATTTGAGGAGGATTTTCAGTCGATGGGCACTCTCAACCGAATGGGTGAAAATCAAAGTCTTTGTCAAGTTTTCACGTTTGAGGAAAGCATACAAAACGAGCGGTTTCACGTCTTTGGCACACACAATGTATTTTTCGGTTAGCTCTCTCGGGGTTGTGTATTTCCCCGATTTTTCCTCACCGGGGTTTCCCATGAAAAGTTTCGGCTGGAAAAGTGATAATTTCTCGATTTTTTCCGGGTCTTGAGTCAAAGTCGCCGAAAAGAGGAGCTTTTGAGGGGCCCTAAGACCGCGCAAAGTGCACAAATTTAAAACCCGATGATTTTGTACACAAATGTGCCTCTCCAAGTGGTACAACCAATCATCTTGCACACTTTCCAAAACTCGATCAGCCTCGTCAATAATCAAAAATTCGAGTGATTTTAAATCAAAACCTTCAGTCAATTTCAAGTGATTCACTAATCGGCCAGCTGTACACACAAGAATATCAATTTTGCTAACAAAACCAAAGGCTGCGTTGAAATAAACCAATTGTTTTTGTTCAAAATTAAACAAATGTTTGCCTGAGATGAGGCCAACTTCGATTTTGGTCCCCTGTGTGTACAATTTGAAGCTTTTAAACACTTGCTCAGCGAGATCCTGAGTGGGCAAAATCACCAAAGCCCTGATTTTCCTCACAGTGAATCGTTTCAAGGTTTGCACCACTGGTAAAACAAATGCTAGGGTTTTCCCACTTCCGGTGGGCGCACTCACACACACATCCCTCGGGAACATGATATCGGCATTTTGACGCACTTGTAGCAACCAGGGGATCACTTCCGCCTGCACCGGAAACAAATACCTCACCCCATTGGCCCGCAACCGCTCCCTGAGCCCCCTATCCAAAGCTTTGAGTTTCGAGACTTTCCACGTCAATTCTTGCAAGTCGGAGGAGATTAGTGTGGGGTTGGTGAGCCATTGGGGGAGAACACGTGCGGTTTTCGGTCTCTTGGCTGTGGTTTCGGCCCCCAGAATCGTGAAATTAGAAATGGGGGGTTTCGCTGCTGGTGGTGGTATGGGGGCTTCTGGAACGGGTTGGGGGGCCTCCACGACGGGTTCCGGGACACGACGTTTCTCACGTTCGCGCTCTCTTTGACGGATACGTTGCTGTTTCTTGCGTTCGATGCGTTTGAGGACTGTGGCCAGTTTTGCCGTTTCCTCTTCGTGGGTCACCTCCGGGGTGGGGTCCCCGTGACGGTTTATCACAAACAACTCCATTTTTGAGTTTAAAGTCAATATTTCATTTTTAAAACGTGTGCGAATCTGAGGTTATGTTCGCTTTTTGACAATTGACATCTTGAAATGTCGTGTGATAATTACAGAAATACGTTTCCACCGAATTCTTTACCTTACGAAAATTGTGAAAATTGAAAAAACAAACATTTTTATTACATTTTAATTCTTACTCCACTGAATTATAATATACAGAGTGAATATAAAAAAGTTTTTTTTTGTAGAACTCAAAAACAAAAGAAAATTTCGAAAAATTTTATTCTAGATAAAACATATTTTTATAACACTATCATTCATCAATTAGTTTTTCCAAAAAATAAATAGTTTAAGCGAAAAGCGTTTGGTTCCATACTTTTTATTCACTTTTTTTTTGTGTTAAATTGTGATTAGATTTGCAAGTCATCCAGTGTTAGAGCCCTACGATTGAATTATGAGCAACCACAGTGACAATTTCGACCTTTTTGATGGTATGTTTTAATCTGTTATTTTATCAAGTTGAACGCAAGTAAAAAGCTTCTTGTTACACAGCTGAGGAAAATGGGGCCCAAGAAACCAAAAATCTGTCACAACTCAGTGAAGAAAATAACCCGAAAGATTCTTTTTACACCAGTGTCCTCGAAGACGAGGCTGTCTCTAAGACTTCCGAGGACAGCGTTGAAATAATTCAGGACTTCCTCAGCACGGTGGAAGTCTGTGACGACGATGAGGAAGACGAGGCCTTAATCCTTTCCTCAATCGTGTCAAGTAAACGACGATGAGCCCCCGAGTACATGACTTGACGACAAGAAAGAGCCCCCAGAAGTTCAGATTGAAGACAGTGACGATGAGTATTCGAGTTTCCTCTCCAACGAAAGTAATAAAACTTTAGTAGCAGTGTTTGGATCATTAAAATTATCCACAATTGGCATTCGTTTATGGACTAAAACCGAACCATCAAGACTATCATAGGGGATTCCCTCGTTCTTGAGATGGATTGCCACCAAATGTAGTAAACTAGTCCACTGTGAAACCACAATTGCTTTGTCCTCACCAATCTTCGTTTTGAGTAAATTGATTAATGCCCGAATCTGGAATAAAAAAAAATTAAGTAATGTCAAAATTATTAACACCCAATAACTCACTTTACTACTCGCATGTTCTGTTGTAAAAACCGGATTTGAGGGATTCAAGTAGCCTTTTGACGCTTCTTTCAAACCAACAGCTTCATTAGCGAGACCTGTAGCAACATTTGACTCTTCTTCTTCTTCATCTATGTTTAATCGATTCAATTGTTCGAGGAGATTCAACTCTTCTGATTCTTCCTGATCTTCAGCATTGCCCAAATCTTCATCGCTTTGCAACATCTGATTTAAATTAGTTTGAAATTTATTAATTTTATTAATTCACTCACTTGTTTGATCAAACTGGGATGGCAACAAATCTGTCGTAATCGGAGTAATAAAACTAGAATATCGTGTTGACTCACTTCTTTGACACGATTCAATTTCAATAAACGGTTCCTCATTTTAAAATATTCACCATTCGGGTCGGCTAAAATTAATTCAAATAAGTAACAAAAAATTAACAATTTATGACAAATGTCATATTTTTGAAATCTAAATTACAAAAAAAAAATTATATTGGAAAAACAATAATTAGCATTACATTTTATTCATTTGTGAAATATAAATAATTATAAATGGAAAAAACGTAATTAAAGCCTATTTTTTTTTCTCAAAATCGATTTAAAGGCCGTGTAAACGTTGTCAATATTTTACTCATAAATCTAGATTGCTGTGAAAAAATTGACAATGACATTTGTGAAAAATGTCAATACTTTTTTATGTAATTTTAATCGTTTTTTAGTGTAAAATCACAACAACAAACAGTAAAATACTTTGTTTTAGTAAAAAAAAATGCTAAACCGCCAACTTATAGCTAACAAAAGGAAATTTGTTCAAAAATGATGACTACGTTTACACGGTGTGCTTAAACTGTTATACATCAATTTTACGTTGAAAAAATAATAATTCGCATGACATTTTATTCAACTGTGTTAAACTTGAATAATTATAAATGAAAAAAACGTAGTTGTTAAATATTTTTGTTCAAAAAAAAAAACGTTAAACGTTGTCAATATTTAAGTAAAAATGAAAAATTACGTGATTTAGTTCTTTTGATTTTAACACTAGGGAAATCATCGTGAGAATTTTACCAAGTCCCATGTCGTCGGCTGTTAAAGGTGCCTCCTGGGTCACTTCCATGCGATCTAAAATTGTCTTCTGTTTTTGGAGTAATTCCCCCAAAGATTGGAGCTTCACAGTGAGGGATTTACCCCGATCTGGCAAATTCTCTACTTTTATCACCCTCATAGCATTCTAAAATTGTTTAATTAAATTTAGAAAACTCAATCTTTTACTCACTCTAGTCCTCAATAAATCAGCCTCAATTGAGTTGACTTTTTTTCAGCTGTTCTTGGTAGTCCTGGTGCCCCACGACTGTTTTATGTGTCGGTTTCGTGACAAAGGAAGTGATGTTTGTTTGCTTGAGACTCGTTCTTGGGGGCTCATCCGTCACTGTCTTCAATCTGAACTTCTGGGGGTTCTTTTTTGTCGTCAAGTCATGTACTCGGGGGCTCATCGTCGTTTACTTGACACGATTGAGGAAAGGATTAAGGCCTCGTCTTCCTCATCGTCGTCACAGACTTCCACCGTGCTGAGGAAGTCCTGAATTATTTCAACGCTGTCCTCGGAAGTCTTAGAGACAGCCTCGTCTTCGAGGACACTGGTGTAAAAAGAATCTTTCGGGTTATTTTCTTCACTGAGTTGTGACAGATTTTTGGTTTCTTGGGCCCCATTTTCCTCAGCTGTGTAACAAGAAGCTTTTTACTTGCGTTCAACTTGATAAAATAAGAGATTAGAAAGTCGTCCTCCTGGTCGAAATTGTCACTGTGGTTGCTCATAATTCAATCGTGGGGCTCTAACACTGGATGACTTGCAAATCTAATCACAATTTAACACAAAAATCAAGGTAAAACCAGATAAAACTTCCAAAGCCGATAATTATTTGCTCGTCAAAATTCACCAAAAGTAACTGACATTTTGAAATGACGCGTGACAATTACAGAAATACGTTTCAACCGAATTCTTTACTGTACGAAAATTGTTAAAAAAAACATTTTTATTATTTTAATTCTTACTACACCGATTTATAATCATACGATACGTAAAAAACTCAAAATTGACAATTATTTTTTAAAACGTCTGTGAATTTGAGATTATGTTCGTTAAATATCACGCGACAATTACAGAAATACGTTCCCACCGAATTCTCTCACGTACGAAAATTGTTAAAATTAAAAAAAAATCCATTTTGAATGCATTTTAATTCTTACTACAACGAATTATACTCATACGATACATAAAAATGTCAAAATTGATAATTATAGTCTTGATACATTATAAATTATACTAAGCTACTCCTCTACTGAACTAGAATTATTGATAGTATACTTTGTGTTGCATTTTTTTGATATATTAACGTTCAGTCTTTGGTTTACCAATCAAAAAAACTCTTACATCACAATGAAACTTAAATTTTGCTATCCGTCGCCTTCTCGACTTGTGTCGTAGTCTTAATCACACTTTCCAAATCAGCTACAGCAGCTGAAACTTGAAACAGCCGTCCGAAAATATCAGCTAAATCGCTCTCCTGATTGGTCATTACAAAACACTCTACAAAAACAAGTGAAAAACAGTTTAAAACAAATGTCACAAACCTGGCTTATCCTGAATAACTTTCTTGCAATATAGACTTAAAATTGCATGCACATCATTGGTTGGATCGTAAACGTCTGAAATTTCTTTCAGTAATACGTCTTTATTCGCTTTATAGAACGCAATAGCCGCTGAAAATTTCTCACTTTCAATCAACTTGTACAAATTCGTGTCAGAATTAGAACAAGTCGGGGGCGAAACACCCCCGTCGGCTTCGTTGTCTTCGGTGCACCTCAAAAGGGCGTTTTTAATCGAAATGATATCAACAGTAACATCTTTCAACTACAAAAATCAATCAAATTTAACTCAAATAAAATGCACAAAAATACTTGAGCCATTTTCAATGTGTTGTGCAATGTTGCAATGATTTTATTCCCAGCTTCGATCAATAGTAACAATTGAAAATAAAGCTTGTAGAGTGATTTTCCCAAATCGAGTAAATAATGATGAACTTCAATGGGTTGTTGACCGCTTAAATATTCCACTTTCAGAGTGGTTTTAACTGCGTTACAATACTAGAAAAAAATCAAGTGTGACACTCGTTAAAAAAACACACCAAATAAATACCACAGCGGCTTGATCTTTCTTATCACAAAAAGTCTCCAAATGTTCTTGCACTTCCAACATTCCATATTTCAAAGTTTCGATAAATTTCGTGTTGCTCAAAGCCGAGGAATTAAACCAAATCAGACTTGGCGGTAAAATACGATACGACATAATATCAATCATCGAATTTAATCGAGAACCGATTAATTTAATAGTCGGTAAACCACCAGCAGCCGACTGTATCATAAAACAACAAGAATCTTTCGTTATATCAATCGTCGATAAACAAACATCTCGAATGAGATTTTGTAATTGGTGGAAAAACTCCAATGTATTGGTCGATATTTGTATCATATTTGTTTGAATAAACAACGTCCAATTCTCCAAAACATCGCTTTTGCTCGGTCTTATCGTCAAAATCCCCGTAAAATTCGGTGACGCATTACATGGTGTCACCTCACCCAAATCGCCAGCACTTGAACCACTAAAAAACAAATTTGCTACGCCACTGACTCATAACGTTGTTGCTTGGCAACCAAACATCGTTACTAGGGACAACAACGTAAACAATGTCTGTCATTGGTTGATGACACGACAGTGGCGGCGTCGATACAAACCTGGTATCGGATCGTGCACTTGAAATAATCTGCGAGGGATGTTCACGTAAAACAAGCGACGATGGAGGAAAACTAACACCTTCACCGGTAATATTATCAAATTCTGTCGCAATTACAATCTCATCAAGGGGTGATTCAGAACCGATTTCATCATCAGATGACTCCTCTGTCATTAATCTCTGAATAAAATTCAATTAAAACATGATTTAAATAAAAGTAAAATTACTTTTCGAACTGTTAACATTGGTGTTTTTTCACTTAAACTATCCTCGAGTTGTTTCAAACTCGGTTGTTCTTCTTCGCCTTGACTCAACGGTCGACGACGTACACCCCAATTAAAATTATCGGTACTTTCACCCTAAAAAAAAACACAGGGTTACCACCAACCAAACAAACCAACCAAAAAACACTACCTCAATACTTTCACTCTCATATTCAAGAAAATCAAAATCTTTAAAAACACCAAATTCAGTTGCAGCATCATCCCTTCTTGATCCGCCACTGATATCATTATTACCACATGACATTTCCTCCGTACTTGATGCCATACTTGATTGTCTTTCAATAATGTCAGAAGTTTGACTAAAAATGACAGATGGACTTTTCGGTAGTCCAACTCTTTGTCCACAAGTCGTTAAAAGATTAACAAGACATTCTCTGACACGTCCTTGTGACATCCAAGGTCGTTTCCAACCGGTTTGTGGTGCGACATCTGCCGGACTTAATGAACATGAACGTCGTGGTGTTACCATTTGATTGGCTCCACCACCATCCTCCCCACTCTTATTGAAAAAACGTCGACCAATCACAGGTGTTTGTGAAACGTCAAATGTAAATTCCATTGTACGACCTGGAAGTTCTTTACGTGCAAATAAACTATCTTCATTGAAGGAGGGGTGGGGGACGGGATTGACACTCTCCCAGTTTGAATGAACTGTAATAGGGGGCGCTACTAGTGAACTTGATCTAGTCACAACTAATTTCAATATTTTCAAAGCCTCCTTCCAGTGAATCCCTTCAATGTATTTGACAATAACACGAAGAAGATCAGTGTTGATTGGTTGAGCCGCCGCTGAACCTAAATCAACATAGTGGAGGATACAATGAATGATGTTTAGGATGGGGAGTTGAAGGTTATTGGGGCCTTTTTCAAGGACTTCAATTAAAAAAGTCAACATGTTGAAACTGAGATGGGAATAGGTGTCGTAAAGGTACTTAATTACACATTTCGTCCATTGGAAACTCTCTTTACTGAAAGTTCGACGACTGTAAAGATTCATTACCGTACCTAAATTTTCCAATTTTTTACTTTTCTCAATACTAACCTAAAAAAAAAAAAAACAATTATAACTGTCATTATTGTCATTCAAGACCCACTTGTGCGATATTCTCCGCTGCTCGAATACAAATCTCATTTGCATCCTCGTAATTCAACAACATGTAAGGTAACAAAGCGATGACATTCATCGGAAAAGCGATAGTTTGTGAGGGATCAACCACAACCAAGGTCAAGAGGGGAGTAAACTGGGATAGGAGCGCCGCCACTGGTTCGTATATATTCGCATGTGTGCAACCCTAAAACAAAAAAATCAGTGTTGACAGGTCTGGTGATTTAAATGATTTGGTGAAATTTTTTCTAAAAATTCTAATTTCTGATGATTTTTTAGAAACGTGATTGTAGAGTTTCAACAGAAAATTAATTTTGAAATATTTTTTTTAAATCGAGCATTAGTAAAATTATTATTTTTTAATTATTGAGTAAATAGTAAATAAAAATGATGACATTTTTGTTTTTTTTTGAGCATTATGAACGTTTTTCTAACCATGCAAAAACTCAAATGCTATTTTTTTTTTCAAAAGAAAAATCGAAAGATAGTTTTGTTTTTCTAAATGATATTTCACCCAAGGTAAAAAAATCACATTATTTTGTCCATTTCTGAGCAAAAGTCGAAAAAAAGAAAAGAAAAAATTTGATTTTTTTCTGAAATGCATTATTTTCAATTATTTTGATGAAGTTTTGTTGAAAATTTGAAAGAAAATTTAAAATTGACTCTAAAATGAGTTTGTTGTAAATGTAGTAGTTTTTTTACCAAAAAATTTTACCAAAACTTGGGAAATTATGTTAAAACAAGGTAAAAAAAAATAAAATCAAGTCTAAAATGTATAATTTTTCTTTATGTATTTTCTAAGATTTGGAGCCTTTTTTCTGCGAAATTAAATGAATTTGAAAAAATTGAAATTGTAAAATTAAGTCTGAAATGCCCTATTTTTTGAGTTATCAAGTGTTTTTCCAAAAAAATCCCAAAATTCGTGAGATTTCACCAAAACTAAGTAGGGAATTTCAAAATTACATCTGAAATTTACTATTTTTGATAATTTTGATGAATTTTGAGAGTTTTGCTGAGAAACTTAATTAATTCTAGATTTTGCCAAAATAAAGCAGAAAATTGCGAAATTTCTAAAAAGATTTTAAAGATTTTTTTAATCAAGAAACAAAATAAATTAAAAAGATTTTGCAAAACAAGACAAAAAATTGTAAAATTGGCTCTGAAATACATTAATTTTTTATGATATTAGCATTTAGCAACAGCATTTTTTACTTAGAAACTTAGTAAATTCCTGAAATCTTGTAAAATTTCTAATTTCTGATGATTTTTTAGAAACATTAATAAATGTATTTTGAAATAATTTATTGAATCGAGTATTTGCCCAAATGTTGGTAAAATTAAGTTTTTTAATTATTGATGTAGTAAATTTGCGATCAAAAATGATGACACTATTTTTTTTTAGCATTTTGTACGTTTTTTAGACACGCGAAATTTTCTCAAAAACAAGTTGAAAAATCAAGAGATAATTTTCTTTTTCTAAATAATTTCACTCAACATGGTAAAAAAATTGCTAAAATAGGTCAAAAGGTACATTATTTTGTCCATTTCTGATCGTTTTAGTATGTTTTTAGCCAGAAACAGAACTATTTTGCAAAATTTCCTTAAAAACAAATCGAAAATTTATCAAATTAGGCCAAAACTAGTGTTATTTTTGCATTTTTAGAGTGTTTCATAACGTTTTTAAAATACATTCAAATTTTGCTAAAACTAACTGAAAAATTACCAAATTAGAATGAAATTGATACCATTTCAGCTCGATTTAGTTCGTTTTTGAACCAAAGACTCATTTATTTTGCAGGATATTGTCAAAACATGCTTAAATACAACAAAAATAAATCAAAATTGATGTTATTTCGTTTGTTTCATTCGATTTAGCTCTTTTTGAGTGAAATTTTGTCAAAAAATGGGACGAAAAATGCAAAATAAGATCAAAACTGGTGTTAATTGCAAGATTTTGTTAAAAACAAACCAAAAAAACATCAAATCAAATCATTATTTTTACTAATTCAGTGTTGCCAATAGATTTTTTGTTACCCGGTATTTCGCAAAATTGAATTAAATCATATAATCTTCGTGTAATCTGGTGAAAATATTTGTAAACCTGGTAACTTTTCAGTTCAGTTCTGGTGATTTTAATTGTGTTGGCAACATTGACAGAATAATCTCACCTTTAGTAATAAAGCGTGAACTCCTGGGAACGAATTCCATCTCAATTGTGACTGCAATTTTTCGACTTTATCACGAGCATCGGGCCGATCTAGTGGCAACCGGTGCATGACACGTGCTAGTAATCTCACAGCCAATAGAAACTCATGTTCATAGTCACTCTCAAGTAGCGACACAGCCAACCAAAACAATTGCGATAAAATCGTTAATTTATCATCTTGAGTCGCTGAATCACCCAATAATTTCAAACTTTGAGCTGACCTTGAACGTGACAAATTCGACGCGAATTTATTCCCTGTTCGATGCTCAATTTCCGTCTTTCGTTCTTTGGTTTCATTCGGCGATGAGACATTTTTTCGCAAACAATACGACACTGAATAGCTTGTACTTCGTGCATGTCCGGTTTGTATCGAATGATTGAATAATGCAGTTGCAGCATTATGTGCAACACTTTGCTTAACCAATTCCTTATTATTGAGATTTGGTGTTGATTTGAAAAAGTCTTTCATGAAATCCAACGGTCTAAAATCCGATTCGAGTGATTCAACGGCAGCTTCAAGCGTCAAAAGTAGTTCAGTGACGTAACCTACAACCAACACTAATTACAGTTTCCTGTAATTTTGACATTTTTTACCTTGCATATCCTCCCCTTGTTCGGCAACTGTCTCAACCAACCGACTTAAAATATCCGAAAGCATACGTGACGAGATTGGTACACGTAAAGCACGATAGATTTGTAATGAACGACCGGCGTAATGACGTGACGAACAACTCAAACCAAGTTGTAGCGCCGTTTGAGCCCACCTTTCATTCACATGTGCATTGGGTAATGAAAATTGAAAAATTTTCAAAATGTGTTGAAGAAAAATATCAATTTGTTCGGCACTTTTCACCGTCCAAACTTTCGCTGTTATATCTTCGTAATTCCATAATGGACCAGTCTGATTACTCAAGAAATCAATCAATGATTTAATGACAAGTGACACACTCAACTCTAATTTGTTACAAATCAATGGTGAATCCTCAGGTGTGACAATCACCGGTGGAATTGTCACATCTTTAGTTTCCTCACCTTCGGGTAAAACCCCACAATTTTTAACTTTATTACCCTCACCGAGATAAATATCAAAAACCGAGTCGGCTTCGGTGAAACTATGCTTAAAAATGGGTAATTGTGGTGTCGACAACCCCAATTGCAACTGATTCGTTTTACTATTGAGTAAAATATGAGCCACTGTTAAATGATCGTTGTGTTGTGCAAGTACGACGAGTAAATTGAGTAAAAGTTGTTTGCAATGTTGGTAGACCAATGGACGAGTATGATCCAACCCAAGAAATAAAATATGGAGCATTAAGGGGACATGAACAGTCCAATCTAACTCAATTCCATCAACAACAACATCGCACAATAACATCACACCGACGTTACATCGGTGAAACCCCGAAATCGGTTGAGAACTATCGGGTAAATACTCAGTTAAGGGGGCAAAATACCCACCATATTCGGGCATTGGTAACGGATGTGGTTGAGGTATATCGAATTTCTCACGAAACATATCATCACCTTGAACCTGGAAAAAAAAATTAATCTGAATTTCTAACAACTTGACTCACATCATCTGATGATGAACAACCATCATCTGAACTACGTAATTTCTCAATGCGGGAATTATAATCCGATAAAACGTTACTCGAATTAACTTTTGATGGGTCTTCACCACTGTGACGTTTCGTATGAATTGTACCCTTCTCGATATCTGTCAAAAAAAAAAAATTACAGTTTCCTGTAATGTCAAGTCTTATAATTACTCAAGTCTTGTCTAGCGTTGGAATCTGATTGTCCTCCACCCCCATTTGTCCCATCCGAGTGACTTGAAGTTTTTCGCATGACAGTCAACCGGTAAAATGGTGGCGTTTCTGTCCTTTCAATCAAACAATTTAAAGTTTCAACTGTTTGTAATTCGAGCATCATTTCATCAAGTAACCTCACCGGTTGTACTCTTGCCAAATACAAAACAACACGTTTTGTCTATAAAATTAGTATGAAACGGACCGCAGACTAAACACATGACTTACATATGGAAGTAATTCACAGGGTGCCATTCCAGATATTATAATCAAATAGCGTATAATGACTTTCATATTATTAGGCCATGATGTACACAATGTAGCCCAAACTTCTTCAATTTCTTTCGAATGATTATCACCGAATTTTGCAGTAATGTAGAAAATATTATTTAGTACCATTTCAGTAGCTTCAGCTGAACCCCAACCTTCCTTACGCCCTCTACCGGTCTCATTAGCGTAAAATTGGTACGTGTGGGGGTTTGGTGGTGGTACATTGGGGTCCACCAATTCCATATTATGCAACCAAGGAAGTAAATATTGAAGTAATAATTGTCTGACTTCGGGACGAGCCGATTGAAACCGATAAGTGATTTCTACAAGTCATTAATTAACACAATTGTCACAATTTGTGTGTAAAATACCCGAAAACATCGGCATTGTTAATTCAGGATGCAGGAGTGCCAACTGTCCCGATAAATGTACTTGAGATCGTCGATAAGTCGTAGCAAGGAGTGTGTCTAAAGTGCTACGTCCTTTATCACCCTCAGCTACAATTTCAATTAAATTTGATACTACTACAATTCTACCAACCTAAATCACTCTCAGCGAGTGGTCCAACTGTTCCAAAAAACCTCTTATCTAACAATTGCAACAGTTGCAATGCTGTATCACGAACAGTAGGCCTTGGACATCCCGTATTCATTAAAGTGACATTAATAATGGCAGTATAATGGTCACAGGGGTATTCTCGAGCACTGAAAATCGTCGCTAATGCAAGAAAACATCCATCAGCTACGGCATAAGTCCCTGTGTAACACTTATCGACCACCCAATCGAGTAAAGGACCAATATCGGGGTTTGATTCCAGGAAAAGAATTACAGTTTCCTGTGCTAATGTATTCACCTAAGAAACAAATGACAATCAAATACCAACAAATGTGATTAAAATATACCTTTTCTTCGCTACTGTCTAATAAACCGCTCAACCAATGATAAATCATGCTGTCTTCGGCCAAATCAGTCGTATCAAAATATGGTCCACAACATAAAAGTGCACTCATTGCTTGTAAGGCAACAAATTGCAAGTCGGAATTTTTCTTAGCCGATGTATCATTTTCATGGATGTTTGAAGGTGTTAAACCGTATTTTCCGGCCCAGAATGAAAACATCATGAAGAGATTTCGACGCAGGTCGCGTTTTAGTAACCCGCGACAAGCTTCCACTGCAAAAATTTTAGCCCCCTTGAATTTTTTGGCCCAATTATAGATGAATAGAAGTTACGTATACAGAGTGGATGGCCCCATTTACACGGAAATAATAAAAAATCAAATATGTTGACATTTGTCAAAAATGACATTAGTTTGACTACGTTTGTACGGTGTTTTAAAACTGTTCTGGAATAAGCCAATTTTATGTCAAGAAACACAATAATTACTACTACATTTTATTCTTTATGATTAATTTGGATAATTGTAAATGGAAAAAAAGTAAATAAGATCTAAAATAAAGTTTTTTTTTTCTAATTGATTTGAATGCCGTGTAAACGTTGTCAGTATTGTACCCAAATTAGGATTGCTGCGAAAAAATTGCCAATGACATTAAATTCGTAACAAATGTCATACTTTTAACTTAATTTTTATCGATTTTCTTGTCTGAGACTTTCAAATCAGTATTAATAACGTTTATTTAAGCTTCAAAATTAGAAAATTTAATATTTTGACATTTGTCAAAGATGACATTAGAACAAGTTGACTACGTTTATACGATGTTTTGAAACTGTTCTTGAATAAATCAAATTTTATGTTGGAAAAACACAGTAATAGGCATTACATTTTATTTATTTATGATAATCTTGAATAACTGTAAATGAAAAAAAGTAATTAAGGTCCAAAATAAAATTTTGTTTTATTAAAAATCAATTTAAACGCCGTGTAAACGTTGTCAAATTTTACTTATAAATCTATTTTTTATTTTATTCATTTATGATAATCTTGAATAACTGTAAATGGAAAAAGCGTAATCAAGGTCCAAAATAAAGTTTTTTTTTAAATCGATTTAAACACCGTGTAAACATTGTCAATATTTTTTACTCATAAATCTAGATTGCTATGAAAAAATTTACAATGACATTTGTAAGAAATGTCAATATTTTGGACTTAATTTTTATCGATTTTCTTGCCTGAGACTTTCAAATCGGTATTAATAACGTTTATTGAAGGGTAAAAATTATAAAATTGAATTTTTAAAAATTTGTCAAAAATGACGTTTAATTAGTGTGACTACGTTTACACGGTGTTTTTAAACTGTTCCCAAAAATAAACCAATTTTCACGTTGGAAAAACAATAATTAGCATTACACATTATTCATTTATGAAAAATATAAATAATTATAAATGGAAAAAACTTAATTAATACTTAAAATAAAGTTTTGTTTTTTTCAAAATCGATTTAAACGCCGTGTAAACGTTGTCAATATTTTACTCATAAATCTGGATTGAAAAAATAAATTTACAATAACATTTGTAAGAAATGTCAATATTTCGGACTTAATTTTTTTCAATTTTCTTGCCTAAGGCTTTCAAATCTGTAATAACGTTTATTTAAGCGTCAAAATTGCAAAATTTAATATTTTGAAATTTTTGAAAAATGACGTCAGAATTAGTGTGACTACGTTTACACAGTGTTCTTAAACTGTTCTCAAATAAACCAATTTTGGAAAAACAAGAATTAGCATTACACATTATTCATTTACGAAAAAAAATAATAATGTTTAATGGAAAAAACGTAATTACGATCTAAAATAGTGTTTTTTTTATTGATTTGACCGCCGTGTAAACGTTGTCAGTATTTTATCCAAATCAGGATTGCTGTGAAAAAATTGACAATGACATTTGTGACAAATGTCAATATTTTTAATATATTTTTTTAATAAACGTTTTTCTTGCTAAATCAACCGATATAATAATAATACTTTGTGTTTAAGTGAAAAGAGTGGTCAATCCCCAACTTACGGCTAAAAGTCTTGATGAGTTTTTTGGTAAAATAAGCAAAATGCAGTGTTAAATCCTTGACACTACTTGACGTTTTATCCGGTTCATTTTCCAGATACGACCTCACTCCTTCAATAAATTCAACAATGGAGGGATGCAACGACTGTGTATCCTTTTCAAGAATACAGGAACTGCTATTAAAAGTACCATTTTCGGCGATATATTCAAGAGTACGCATCAAATGTAAACGTAAAGCGTCGCGACGCCGTCGTCTTCTTACATTCTCCTGCTTCTTATCGATCGCTTCACGAAGATAAATAATCAATTCTTCCATTAAATCACGACAAGCGTCGGCATTTACATGCCCGACGGCATAAACAGCTGCATCTCTCACATCGGCCACTTCACATCGTAAAAGTGGCACAACAAGTTTATAAAGACTTGTGGGGGAAATACCCGAAGATGTTTTATTATCAGAACGTTCAGTGTTTAAACTATCCGGGGATGAACTAAAAAGTGATACTAACGCCAACTATCGACAAACTAACTCAACCAACCTCAAACTCAGATCCGGACTAGCACATCTGACAATTGGATTTGCCATATGTGGGACTACTTTAAACGCAAAAGTGATGTAATTTTTCCATAGATGCATATAAGCGTCTCGTTCATTGGGGGGTTTCCTCAACGTGGCTGAACTCCGTAAAAGTGACGCTCTATTATCATTAACAGGCCTAAAATTGAACAAATCAAATTTAAACTTCAATAAATCAAGTTAACTAACGTCGGATCAACAACCGAATACAATGCATTTAATCTAGTGTAGACAATAGGCCATGAATGTGTTGTCACATTTGGACATTGTGTCAAAATCCTTTCCAAAAATCCAAACAAACAACAACTCCACGGATCAACAATCGTAAAACAATAACTCGAACCGGTTTTAACCGAACCATCTTCGGCAAGTCCCGCATTCCATGCCGAAAGTGTCCGATCAACAAGCCATTGCAAATCGATATTACTCGCTGTTAAAACTGCAGTTTTCTCAGTTGGTGGTAATAAAATAAGACACTTTTCGGCCACTTTCGGACAACAAGCATCGATTATATCAATCACAGGGGGATTACCTGAACAATTCAATACTTTTAATAGACTTTTCACTTCTTTGAGAATCAAAACTGAGACACGTTTCGTTGTTACACGATAATTACACAACATAACAAGTGCTAAAGCTTCAACTAGGTGAAGTACCGACGACATCGGTTCAGATTTACCCAAATCAGTGCGTTTATTCATCGTATCAGTGTCTTTGATTCGTGTTGGGTTAGTTAGGGCCCCCTTCCAGGCACATAACAATGTCAAAATCATTTTCAATCCGTTATCAATAAGATTCGGGAATGTATCAAGCACGTCTTTGGCCAAGAATTGAGATAGCCCCCATAAAACATCCTGTCGCCAATCAGGGAAATCAATAACAAGTGTTTGAAGACTTTGATAAGCCAAACCGCGCAATTCTTCATCCATATGAACAGTTAAACGACTCAAAAGATCAACAAGTTCAGAACCAGTCATACCATCTGGGATAAGTCGTGGTACTGCAGCCACACAAGTCCTAAATAAGTCAATTCGGGGCTTTCGTTCTCCTGTTATCATTTCATCAGGCTCCTTATTAACATTCTGTGTGTTTGTCATCATCAGGGGGCGTCCATATTGCGTATCCAACGCACGTAAAATATCAACAAAGACACGTCGAACGTGGGGGAAGTACGCACTAATCCCGATACTCCTTGCCGTATCTTCAGTTAACATTTTATTCAGGAAAGTTTTACGGACACGTAGGGTATTCCCACTGGGGAGGACACCAACCGAACGAGGCATGGGGGGTTCCCCTTCTTTCTGTTGCAAACTATCAGCGACCACCAAAAACGCCCTCAATCCAATACTCATTCTTTCAGGTGTTAAGATTATTTTAATTGGTCGTCCGACAGATAATAAATCAAAAACGATTTCTCTCATTGCAAAATCGAGACGTTCCTGTGCTATAAACTGTATAATTTTCACGAAAATATTTAAAGGTGTGTCACGGGGAACCACACCTTTTGAGCCTTTCGGAAATAACGAATTTACAATACTTTGAAGACGTGATTGTGTCGCTGTGTTACTCTCACATTTGATTCGAATCATGTAGACCCACAGGAGACGATAAAGTGATTCTAATGCGACACGACACATTTTCGGATCACGATTTTTCAAATGTGATAAACACATTGCGAGAAAATAGTGCCAATTTTGGAGGAAAAATTGTTTCTGACTGACACATAGTAGACAAGTGACGAGTGGAAACAGCGCCAGACGGTGTTTGGATTTGGTACTAGCGTCCAGGGTTTGAGAATAGAGCATTTCAACAAAGTTTTTCAAACATGGGACGTTCACTTCGTTTTTGACAGCCTATTACAAAAAAAAAATTCATCAAAGTATTATATAAGTATTATTTTTTAAGTTGGCAACAGTGTTGTCAGGTGTGGCGAAATTTCACCAGAATTTCAACCAGAAAATTGATTATTTCGAATTGGTTAAAAATAGTTCTATTTGTTTTTTACTAGATTTTACTAAACAGGATCGAAAATGCCAATTTATTTTTGTCTTTTTCGAATACTTTTTCAGCTGGAAGTAAAATTTCGTTAAAAACAATCCAAAAATTCAACAAATTCGACCAAAAACGGCGTTATTTTTACCTTTTCCAAGTGTTTAAGCATGTTTTTGCGATTAAAAGAAAATTTTAAAAATTTTGTTAAAGCAGGCAAAAAAAAATTGCAAAATTAAATCGAAATTGATATTATTTTGAGAGCAAAATTAAGACAAAAATAAGCCGAGAATGTTTTTACACACGTTTTTGTACTACAATCTCAGGGTTTTTGCGTGATTGGTTAAAAACGAACTAAAAAATTAACAAATTAAGTCGAAAATTACATTCACTTTGCATTTTTTTTTGAGAATTTTAGCACATTTTCAGCTAGAAACGAATTATTTCTCAAAATTTTGTTAAAACAAGCCAAAAAACACAGCATTAGGCCAAAAATGATATAATTTTTTCCTTTTTCGAAAATTCAAGTAGATTTTTAAGCTGAAAACTCATTTTCTCAAAAACAAGCCACAAATTCAACAAAATAGCCCAAAAACGGCCTTTTTTGTCTTTTCCGAGTGTTTTTGAGAGATAAAAACACAAAAAGTTCAAAATATTCCATTCAAACAGATTAAAAAATTACAAAATTAAATCGAAATTGATATCATTTTTTAGCTTGTTTCGCTTGAATCACAGAGGTTCATTTATTTTGCAAAATCTTGTCCAAACACGCTTAAAAACAATAAAAAAAATATTTTTTCAAGCAAAATTAAGACAAAAATAAGTTAAGAAACCACAAAATTTGACCGAAAATGCCTTACGCGTTTTTTTACCAAAATCTCAAGTTTTTCACTAGATTTCGCTAAAACAAACTAAAAAAAAATTAAGTCTAGAATTACATTTTTGCATTTCTCGAACATTTTAGTACGTTTTTCAGCTAGAAACGTAATTATTTCGCAAAATTTTGTTAAAAACAACCCAAAAAACAGAATTTTGCCGAACATGATATAATTTTTTTCTTTTTTCAAAAGTTCAAGTAAATTTTTAAGCTGAAAATTCAATTTTTTTGTAAGAGTTTGCCATAGTGTGTCAAAAATCACTAAATTGTCATAAAAAAAAATTATATTATGATATTTTTACCTTATTCTTAGACTTTTTCGTCAAATTTTCTCGAAAAAAAAATCGAAAAGACCCACATTGGTTAAAAGTATTTCTATCTGTTTTTTTACAACATATTAATTACCTACTAAACAGATTCGAAAAAAAACACAATTATTTTGCGAACTTTTGTCAAAAACAAGCCGCAAATTCAACAAAATAGCCAAAAAACGGCGTTTTTTGTCTTTCCCGAGTGTTTAATGATGTTTTTGAGGAATAAAAACACAAAAAGTTCAAAGTATGACATTGAACAGAATAAAAATTACAAAATTAAATCGAAATTGATATCATTTTTTAGGTTGTTTCGCTTCGTTTTTGAACCAGAGGCTGATTTATTTTGAAAAATCTTGTCCAAACACGCCTAAAAAACACACAAATGATTGATATTGATGTTATTTTGTTTGTTTCAGTCGATTTAAATGATTTTTGAGCAAAATTAAGACAAAAATAAGCTGAGAAACCACTAGACTTCGCTAAAACAAACTAAAAAATACTAAAAAATAAAGAAATTAAGTCTAGAATTACATTTCTCGAGCATTCTAGCACGTTTTTCAGCTAGAAACGCAATTATTTCGCAAAATTTTGTTAAAAACAAGCCGAAAAATCACGAAATGCATGTCATTTTTTATTTTTTTTTGAAGAGTATAAACGGATATTTAAGCCGAAAACTGCATTTTTTCGCGAGATTTTGCCAAACAAATCGTAATCTAGTGAGAATTTGACGAATTTTTCAACTCGGATCTGGTGAATTTTATGTTTTTAATCTGGCAACGCTAAAACCCCTACTTACTGCCGCCACAGGTACTAGAATCTCCACAAACAAGCCTGCTAAAGCATGCTTTACATCTTTGTCCTTCACTTCGAGAAAATACTGTGCACACTCTTGCATGTACTGAAAAGAGGCCTCAAACTCCTCGATTGGTACCATCTTGACACGGAAAAATTTCATACCCATGAGTAAACTAATAATACTTTGAGTGGTATGTGGAGTGGCTTCGCGCCCCCTTAACTCTTTCAATTCATTCATGAAACGTGTTTTAACTGATTGAAAACGTGATTGGGCCAAAACACCAATCACTTCAGCGTAAAGATCGGAAATCATGTGAATGTTACTCCCATTGGGGTTATTCTGAATCCTGAAAAAAAAAACTTTAGAGAAATTTTGAATGATTATGATTATAATCACAACCCTTCGCGATATTTGAAGTGTTTAAATGCAAGATTTTCGATGTACAAGACTAAATCTTCATGACCTGGATGAAAAGACAACTGTTTCAGTACTTCGATTAATACGAGACAAAAAATAAATTCAACGGCCAAATCACGTCGTTCTTTTTGTATATCGACTTCTGAACGTTCTACAGTCTCTGTGGAATTCCCAGCCACCATGTAAATAATACTGAAAGGGAGAAAAATCAATTAAAGTGAAACCATAACAAAATTATTACCTTTTCTGTTTAATATCGGACTTTTTCTGTTCCTGGTGACTCACCTCCGCCATTTGTCTCTCATACCACGAATACAAAGCACGCAAAAGTGACGGCAAACAATGCTCAGCTACACACCCAAACGCACTTAACAGTTGGTCAAACTGTGGGTCTTCCCCCCGTTGCAAGGTTTTCGATAATGGCTTTTCGTGTGGTTCCCCCATCACAGCTTCGATTTTCTTCTCGGCGAGGATCGTGAAATCGGAGAAGAGACTCCTCATGACGTACTCCCCCGGTCTTATATCCAACTCGACGCTACTCCCCGAGATGATTTGGGGGAAGTACTCCTTGTGCACCCCCCAAGGGAGCAACATTCCGCGATTGGGGGCCGGTGATGCCGCCACAGTCGCGTTCTTCCTATCTGCAGCTGAGTTTTGATTAGATTGAAATTGTGTGAATGGGGCTTACAGATCGAGGGGCTGTCCTCGTCGTTGGACAAAGTCGCATGGATTGTGGAGAGCGAAACGGTGCTTTTTTCGGTCATTTCGGAAACGGTGGTGTTGTCGCTGTGGGTGTCGGAGCACACGCTTTCGGAACATTCGGAATCGTTGAGGGAAACGTCTGGAAATGGGGGTTAGGGGGTGCCACTACGAGACGCACTATACCTGTGTCTTGGCCAGGGGGCGCCTCAGGCGGGTTATCACACATGCTGAGTGCTCAAAACAACATACTAACTTGCAATTTTAACACCCAAAATCCTGCAAATTACAATTTCAATAAAAGTGATAATTTTTGACCAGAAGTGCGACAATATGATCCGCGATCATTGTTTACATCGTCTCAAACTGAATAAATGTCGCAAAAACACAATTTACACGAAAATTCCTCACTTTTATTTTATTATTGTTAACTGTCATTTGTCAAAATTTCGACTGGTTATGCAACCCATAAAACACCCGAATGTAAAAATGGTATTTTTTAAAATAGTAATAAAATACTTGATAAAAAATTGAAAACAAAATGATGTTATTACGTTTTAATAAAAGAGAAATTATGATTTTTGCGATTTTTAAATACGTATTTTGAGTGGTTGGTGTAATAAAGTTACTAGACCCTCCGCGCTAAGAAGTAGTACCGTCCTAAATAACTTTTTTTTGAAAAACATTTAATGTCACTTTACACATTAATACTAACACAATAAATATTTACTCATACACTAGCTAAAAACAATTATTTAACTAAAATAATCCACACAGTAATTTGACAGTCCAGTTTTGGTGACTTTAGTGTTTTTGGTATATTTGAAAAATCCCGCGCTGGAGAAGCCCCAATCAACCTACCAGGCCTGATTATCGATCAAACCCCGTTTCCCCCGACAACAACGTTCGCAAATCATTTCAAAATTGTCATATTTTTGTTGGCGATGGTCAGTGGCAAAGAATTCCGTTCGACTTTACGCAAACCACTACCTGGCGCCCCCAAACACAAAACCTGTCGCATCGTTCCAGCATTCACAATTCAGGCGTTGCAAAAAGGCACTTGTGTTGTCCCTCCGCCCCGTTGCAATGCACTTAAAGAGCAGCCCCCACGACCGACCAACTTCCGGACGAACTACAAACGCGGGGATTTCCCCATTGCATTGGAGGCCAACGGTAAAAGAATCTCATGGAAGGTAACTTAACTTACTTTTGAACTATTTAGTGTTTTTGTTTTTAAACAGGCTGACATAAATAAACTGGATTATCACCACTACTTGCCCATGTTTTTCGAGGGGCTGTCGGAGACGGAAAACCCGTACAAAGCCTTCGCCCAGCAGGGGATTCACGATATGCTCACGTATGGGGGGCCTAAGATTTTCCCATGCATCCCACAACTGATTATTCCAATTAAGAGTGAGTTTTTTGATAAAAATAAATCACGCTTTAATTTTTTATAGATGCTCTCAATACGAAAAACAAACAAGTGATGTGCTCCACCTTGAGGGTTTTACAACATTTAGTCAAGTCGGGGGACATGGTTGGCGAAGCCCTAGTGCCCTATTACCGCCAGATTTTGCCCGTACTTAACTTATTTAAGGAAAAAAATGGTGAGTTTCACGTTTTACACTAATTTTTTAATGTTTTATTTTAGTAAATTGTGGTGATGGCATTGATTATAGCCAAATGAAAGGCGAGAACTTAGCAGACATCATCAATGAGACTTTGGAGACTCTTGAGAAATATGGGGGCGAAGATGCTTTCATCAACATCAAATATCTCATCCCGACTTATGAATCCTGTATGTTGAATTGATCAGGATGACAAACTTAATAAATAAAAAGACCCTGCCGACTAGTTTTTTTTTTCTTTAATATAAATAAACGGCATACACCACAACCAAACAAAAAATGGTGTCCTGAAAAAAACCTGTCAATTGTGAACAACCCCAATTTGCGACATACTACATTCGAGAAGGTCTCACTCGTGTAGCCATCAGTCTCGGCGTCCCAGAGACAGCGTACCCCCGACTTGACACCAGCCCCCTTGTGTTCGCCCAATATCACTTGCACGATGTGTTTATAACGTTTCATTTTCAACTCAGTGACTTTTTCGCTTATTTCGTTGGCCAAATCAACTGTCCACTTTTTCACTTGTTCCGGGTCGTAGGACTTTCCACTCAATTTCTCGCTTAAAACGTTTCGCATTATTTCCTTAACTGTTCCACCCTTGAATCTGAGTTAAATTAGTCGGGGTGTGGGGGCGATTTTGGGTAATACTTGTCTGCCAAAACTGGTTTGATTTGGTACGAGTGGATGGCGGGGATTGTCTCGCAACTCGGGGGGGCTGCAATGGCTGTCTCCTCGGTGACTTCCGAAACTGACTCGCGGGTGACGTCGCTGCCGAGGGCCGAAACGGCGTCCGAAGTCTCAATGTTTTTATCGTTTTCCGACATTTCTTAATGTGTTTACAAATTTGAAAACCTAACCAAAAAGTTTTGACAAGTGACAAGGTTGCCAACTTGTGGCGGGGATGTTATTTCTTTTTATAAAAAAAGCTTAATAATAAAATAAAACTCAACTTTTTCAAACTCTCTCTAGTGTTTTAATATTTTTATTGTTTTCTGACGTTTTTAAAATGTGTTTACAAATTTGAGAACGTAACCAAAAACTTTTTGACAAATGACAGAACATTGGAGACAAGGTGGAAATTATAAATTTTGCATAAAAACGCAAAAAATTAAACAACTGTATTTTGTTAAAAGTGCTATTAGGTGATAATTCCAATTATTTTTTCTTCTCATTTTTGAGACTCCAGTTGGAATTTTTGACAGTTGAGAAGGTTGGCAACGTGATGCGGGAAGTTTAAATCGTTCATAAAAAAATTAAAATAAATGTACTTTATTAAAAAAACACAATTATTTTTTCTTCTTTTTGAGTTTCTTGGCCTCTCTCCAGGCCTTGTAATGCGTTTTTTGTTTTTCTTGTATAATTTCCTTATATTTCCGTTTGTTGTATTTATTGAATTCAGCGTCGGCTAAAAGTTCATCAACAAGTGTCCTTTTCCTTTCTTTTTTAGTCAATCTATTGTTATAATAGTCCAAAGGTGAATCCACCACTTTCCCAATCTAATAAAATAATCAAAAATTTATTTAAAACACTAAGAATTTGGAAAATCAAACCTGAAAATATTTTGGAAGAACTTTCAGGTCGTTTTTCTTGTAGAATCGTTTCGGGTCCAAAACCGCCCGCATTTGGAGGATTTCAAGGTCACGTTTGACTTCTTCAGTCATTTCAGTTGCAGGCAAACCGTACCACTTCTTCCCCTTAGTTTTTTCAGCCTCTTTCTGTAAAAATAAGCCGTCAAATCAGAAAATTTCATGACAAAATACCTTTCGTTGTTTTTTCAGGATTTTTTCAGACAGCTCATACGGTGGTACAACGTGTTGTTTCTCAAATTCTGGTGTTATGACCGACTTTTTCAGCACTTCCTGAACCTCACTCTTGGCGTTTTGCAATTCTTGTAAAATATCATCTTTCTGTTTTTTCTTTTTTCGCCTACCATTCCAACCCATTTCATCGAAAAACGATTCTAGTGAACTACTCTTCTTGTCGTTTTTACGAGGGGGCGCAGCGTGAGTGGCAGACTCCTGGCGGTACTCTTCCAGAAGCCTCGAAACCAACGAACCTGAAAAAGTGGGTGAAAAAAACATCACGAAACTTGGAAATGTTACTTTCGCCGCTGACTGAGGGCTCATTTGCACCCAAAGAACCCTTATTGTCAATTATAAAGTCCATTTTTGGACAGAAATAACGATTTTTGGCTCTACTCAAATTGACACATGCTGCATCACCTAACCTCACTCACTCTTCAAACAGTCAAACCAAACTTCTGCACAAATGAAACAACAAAAATGAATTCAAAGCTTCACAAACAACCAACTAATAGTAATAAAAAATTTATTTATTAATTTTTAATAATAATAAATGTAACATTTTTAAAAATCAAGCAACACGGAAAAAATACTGCCAACGTTTCAGGGAAAATCACCATTCACCAGAATGTGCAAAAATCAAATGTTGTCTTACGCGTTTTTTGCTCTTAAAAAAATTGTTTAAATGTGTTAGAAAAGTGATTGAAAAATCGTTAAAAATCTCGTGTTGGAAGCACAAAACTCGAAAAATGTGTTGGTTTAGTGTTGCTAAAGTGAAAATTACAGTCTAATTACAGGAAAATAATATACAAACATTTTGCATTTTTTTTTTTGTAAATTATCGTTCATTGGGTAAAATTATACAGACAAAGACAATATAAAAAATAAAATACATACATATAAAACAAATATACACAGTCATTGAAAATCAAAAAGCATTTTTAAGTCTTGTAGGGACAGTTTACTGTTAGTAACTTGTTTCGACCCTGTGAGCATGGCATTTGCAATTTCGAGTTTCCTCTCTTGAAGGGCCTTAATTCTTTCCTCAATAGTTTCAAGTGCCATAAACCTGAAACAATTGTGTAATTAGAAGAAAAGAAACAATAAAAAAACACAAACTTGTAAACATAAATATTTTTCTTTTGTCCCATCCGATAAATCCGGTCCTGTGCTTGATTTTCCAATTGAGGATTCCAGTGCAAATCTAACAGAAACAAATGATTTGCTCCAATCAAATTCAAGCCCACTCCACCAGCTGTCAACGAAAGTAATAAAACTTTAGTAGCAGTGTTTGGATCATTAAAATTATCCACAATTGGCATTCGTTTATGGACTAAAACCGAACCATCAAGACTATCATAGGGGATTCCCTCATTCTTGAGATGGATTGCCACCAAATGTAGTAAACTAGTCCACTGTGAAACCACAATTGCTTTGTCCTCACCAATCTTCGTTTTGAGTAAATTGATTAATGCTCGAATCTGAAATAAAAAAAATTAAGTAATGTTAAAATTATTAACACCCAATAACTCACTTTACTACTCGCATGTTCTGTTGTAAAAGCCGGATTTGAGGGATTCAAATAGCCTTTTGACGCTTCTTTCAAACCAACAGCTTCATTAGCGAGACCTGTAGCAACATTTGACTCTTCTTCTTCTTCATCTATGTTTAATCGATTCAATTGTTCGAGGAGATTCAACTCTTCTGATTCTTCCTGATCTTCAGCATTGCCCAAATCTTCATCGCTTTGCAACATCTGATTTAAATTAGTTTGAAATTTATTAATTTTATTAATTCACTCACTTGTTTGATCAAACTGGGATGGCAACAAATCTGTCGTAATCGGAGTAATAAAACTAGAATATCGTGTTGACTCACTTCTTTGACGCGATTCAATTTCAATAAACGGTTCCTCATTTTAAAATATTCACCATTCGGGTCGGCTAAAATTAATTCAAATAAGTAACAAAAAAATTAACAATTTATGACAAATGTCATATTTTTGAAATGGAAATTAGAAAATTTTGATATTTGTCAAAAATGACATTAGTGTAACTACGTTTATACGATGTTTTTAACTGTTCCCAAATAAACCAATTTTATGTTCATTACATTTTATTCATTTGTCAAAAATATGAATAATTGTAAATGGAAAAAACGTAATTAAAGCATAAAATAAAGTTTTTGTTTTTTTTTTAAATGGGTTTAAACGCCGTGTAAACGTTGTTAGTATTTTACTCAAATTTGTAACAAATGTCATACTTTTAACGTAATTTTTATCGATTTTCTTGCCTGAGGCTTTCAAATCAGTGATAATAACGTTTATTTAAGCGTCAAAATTACAAAATTTAATATTTTGACATTTGTCAAAGATGACATTAGAACGTTTATACGATGTTCTTAAACAAATCAATTTTATGTTGGAAAAACACAATAATAGGCATTAGATTTTAATCATTTGTGATAATCTTGAATAATTGTAAATAGAAAAAACGTAATTAAAGTCCAAAATAAAATTTAGTTTAAAAAAAAAATCGATTTAAATGCCGTGTAAACGTTGTCAATATTTTCAATTTTAATCGTTTTTATTGCAAAATCACAACAACAAACAATAAAATACTTTGTGTTTTCGTGAAAAAAATGCTAAACCCCAACTTACAGCTAAAAAAATTAAATTTGTCAAAAATGATGTTAGCAATATTATGACTACGTTTACATGGTCAATAATTCGCATGACATTTTATTCAACTATGTTAAACTTGAATAATTATAAATTAAAAAAACGTAGTTACGGTATAAAATAATTTTGTTTAAAAAAAGCCGTGTAAACGTCAATATTTAAGTAAAAATGAAAAATTACGTGGAAGTCCGTTGAATTTAAAATCATAAGCATCTTGATTTTTCTCAGCCCTTTGGTGTAAAAATTGTGCGAAAAGTGTCCTTGAAAAAATCAAAACTTTCTGATAAACATCCATCTCTTCTTTCTCCAACTTGACGGAAATTAACTCCCAAGTACGATTAGGCAAACTCTCCAAAACCCCCTTCTCCATCAACTCGGATTTGGTGCGTCTCAACATCAACGAAGAGATAACAGTGTGGAGACGCATCGCCCCTCCTGTACTCTTATCACCAACCCAATGCTTCCACACCTGTAAAACCCCCAATTATTACCAAATTCAAAAATAAAAATAAACTAACCTGGAGATCATCAAAGGGGGAACACCGCAAAAACTTGAAAATTGCATACATGTCTAGTTCTTTATTGTGAACAGGAGTGCCAGTTAAGGCCCACCGGGACTTCCCCGATAATCGAAAAATGGCCTCAGAAGTCTTCGATTTGTGATTACGGATCTGGTGAGCCTCATCCAGGATGATTCTTCGCCAGTGCACCCCAAAAACAGCCCCATCTCTGGTATTCTCATTCAAAATTAGGGAGTAAGTCGTGATGACAATGTCATGTTTAGCGAGTCGCTTAGGTTTAGTCTCGCGTTTCGCCCCATGGTAGACTTCAACCGATAATAGCCCCCTTTTAGTTCTTCTTTTAATCTCCTCCGACCATTGATTCATAAGACTTGCGGGGCATACCACCAAAGTGCCCCCTGGTCGTTTCTCACAATGATTTTCCTTGTCTTCATTATCAAGATTTAGTTCTTGTGACTTTAACACTAAGGAAATCATCGTGAGAGTTTTTCCAAGTCCCATATCGTCGGCTAGGAGCCCCCCTGATGGCTTCTGCTTCTCGCGCCATAGAAGCCATGCCAGGGCTTGTTTCTGGTGGGGCATTAGTGCGATTTTGAGGCCTTGGGGCTCCTCCACGGTGTCTTTCTCACCGGGACATGTCTCGAGCGATTTGTGAAGAGAATCAAGAGTCTCCATGGCCATCGTTTTCTCGGCTTTAAAGCGAGCAACACCGATTTTGCCGAATGTTCGGGGCCCCACAGCGTCCACCCCCGCCTCGATCTCTTCCCAAGCGACTTCAACGCGATTGTGGGCTGTTAAAGGTGCCTCCTTGGTCACTTCCATGCGATCTAAAATTGTCTTCTCTTTTTGGAGTAATTCCCCCAAAGATTGGAGTTTCTCAGTGAGGGATTTCCCCCGATCTGGCAAATTCTCTACTTTTATCACCCTCATAGCATTCTAAAATTGTTTAATTAAATTTAGAAAACTCAATCTTTTACTCACTCTAGTCCTTAATAAATCAGCCTCAATTGAGTTGACTTTTTTCACTTGTTCTTGGTACTCCTGGTGTCCCACGACTGTTTTATGTGTCGGTTTCGTGACAAAGGAAGTGATTTTTGTTTGTTTGAGACTCGTTCCTGGTTGCTCATCGTCACTGATGTCTTCAATCTGAATTTCGGGGGGCTCCTTTTTGACGTCAAGTCTTGAACTCGGAGTCTCCTCGTCGTCACTTATTTCAACAATGCTGAGGGAGTCCTCAATTATTTCAGGTGTGTCCTGGGAAGTCTTGGGGTTATTTTCTTGGTCACTTTCGTCGTCAGTGACTTGACTGGTCTCTCTGTAACTAAGTCGTGACAGATTTTCGGTTTCTGGGGCCCCATCTTCCTCATCTGTGTAATAAAAAGCTTTTTATTTGCGTTAAACTTGATAAAATAAGAGCGGAATTAAAAAATACCATTAAAAAGGTCCTCTTCCTGGTCGAAATTGTCACTTTGGTTGCTCATAATTCAATCGTGGGGCTCTTAACACTGGATGATTTGCAAATCTAATCACAACTTAACACAAAAAACAAGGTAAAACCAGATAAAACTTCCAAAGCCGTTAATTTTTTGCTCGTCAAAATTCACCAAAAGTATTGCCAACCCCACACAATTTATTAGTTTTATTGGGTAATGAAAGTAAGTGATTTTATTTATTTATTGTTGAATAATGTGAAAGTGCTTTAAAATACCGTACCAACTAAACGCTTATTGTGATAAATTATCTAAAAAAACTTTTTCTTTGTTGAAATGACAATTTTGTTGGCATCCCTTTATTACTAAACAAGTAACCTAACCTCACAGAACCATAACCTCACATTAAAATATAAAGTAAAAAAATGTATGCAGCCTCCTTTGGGTGCTATAAGGTAAGAAACTAAAACATTGGTTTTGATAAAGAAATCATTTTATTATTACAAAACCAAGATTTGCTATTTAATCGTATTAATCTTCTTCTTTAACTTCTTCAAGGCCTTTTTCTTCGCCAAAACACTATCCATGCCCACTTTCTCCTCTTTGTTAACCGCCTCCTTGAGCCTCCTCAACGCCTTCTTATACCTCTCACTCATCCCCTCCAACTCCTCCACCCCGACCTCAACCTCCTTCTTCAACAAGGCTTTAAACGCTGGTACTTGTTCCTCATGTAAAAGTGTCACAGCCACCCCCGATTCACCCGCTCTTGCTGTCCTCCCCCCTCTATGTATCTAAGTTTTCAAATATTTAGGGGCTGAATAAGACACTACACAATTCACCCCCGGCAAGTCGATTCCTCGTGCTAGAAAATCAAACACTAAGAATTTGGAAAATATTTTGGAAGAACTTTCAAGTCGTTTTTCTTGTAGAATCGTTTCGGGTCCAAAACCCCCCGCATTTGGAGGATTTCAAGATCACGTTTGACTTCTTCAGTCATTTCAGTTGCAGGCAAACCATACCACTTCTTCCCCTTAGTTTTTTCAGCCTCTTTCTGTAAAAATAAGCCGTCAAATTTGAAAATTTCATGACAAAATACCTTTCTTGTTTTTTCAGATTTCTTTCACAGTTCATACGGTGGTAAACGTGTTGTTTCTCAAATTCCGGTGTTATGACCGACTTTTTTAGCACTTCGTGAACCTCACTCTTGGCGTTTTGCAATTCCTGAAAAATATCAAGTTTCTGTTTTCTCTTTTTGTGTCCACCACTCCAACCCATTTCACCGGAAAACGATTCTAGTGAACTACTCTTCTTGTCGTTTTTACGAAGGGGCGCGGCGTGAGTGGCAGGAGGATACTCTTCCAGAACCTGAAAAAGTGGGTGAAAAAAACATCACCAAACTTGGAAATGTTACTTTCGCCACTAATTGAGAGCTCATTCGCACTCAAAGAACCCTTATTGTCATTTATGAAGTCCATTTTTGGACAGAAATAACGATTTTTGGCTCTACTTAAACTGACATATGTTGCATCGTCTAACCTCACTTTTTTAACCAAACTTTTACACAATTCAAACGAAATAAATAAAAGAAGAAAAATTAATAATTTATTCAAAGCTTCACAAACAACCAACTAACAGTAATAAAATATTTATTTATTAATTTTTAATAATAAAAATGTAACAATTTTGAAAATCAAGCAACACAGAAAAAATACTGCCAACGTTACGGGAAAAATCACTAGAATGTGCAAAAATCAAATGGCGTTGAACGCGTTTTTTGCTCTTAAAAAATTGTTTAAATGTGTTAGAGAAGTGTGAAAAGTGATTGAAAAATCGTTAAAAACCTCGTGTTGGAAGCACAAAACCCGAAAAAAGTGTTGGTTTAGTGTTGCTAAAGGGAAAATTTGAATTTGAAATTGCATAAGGACCGACATATTTTTCCCCAAAAATCGTAATTTTCGTTAAAATTCGTGAATTATTCATTTAATTAACCATTTGGTTATTTAAAAGTGTGAGGTCATTGGTGAGAAAGGCACCATGACCATGAACTGAATACCCAAATTAGGTTATTTCCACATCTTGGAGCTTGTCATTCGAATTATTGTAAAAATGGTATAGGTACGTATTCATTTGTTGTGATAACACATTTTATAACCGTGATAACGTTTCAGTGAAACTGTATTAAATTCGAAGATAAGGGAACGATTAGCAAGCGTAATGAGTGATTTTAAACCACGGTTCCTAAAACCATCAGAAACTTCAAGCTTCCTGGATAGAAACGATTCTTCACTCGCCGACTCAACAGATTTTATATTCAACAGACATCTGTCGCAGTCAATTCAAACACAGAGACAAAAATTGCCCATTTTTAATAATAGAAATCATATTTTGTTCCTGCTTGAGAAATACCAGACGCTGGTGTTGGTTGGGGAGACAGGCTGTGGGAAGAGCACGCAAGTACCGCAGGTAAGCCCCTCACAAAAACGGGGGAATCACAAGTTTTGCAATAAATCCACACACCTGTGTTTATTTTATTTTGCTCGATTAGATTGCTCTTATTTAATTTAATTCTGATAATGAAACGGTCTATTTATTGCCAAAGACTGCAATAAATGTGAATGAAAATTTGTGACATTTTTATTTCTAGTTCAAATTTTAAAATCGTGACGCAGAATGCTAAGTAGGTGGACTTGTGGTTTAAAATAGAAGTGTGTTTATTTTTATGTGACTTTATTTGAGTACATTATAAGATTCATAATAGAAAAGTTTACTTAATGAGATCTTTGTTTCGTTAAACATAACTTTAAGTATTAATTAAACATTGTATGAGTTAAAATCGCAGTTTAGTGGTGACCAATCGCAGTTTTTATACAGCGTGGTTCAAAAGAATATTCTACATCCAAAAAAAAGCCTGTGGTAAGAGTAAAAATTAGTAATATAAGCCTGTAAAATTTTAGAAAATAACTCGAGTGGTTTCGGAGAAATTTTAATTTTTATCATGGAACTTTATCACCCTGTATATCCATAACGAAGCTCACTATTATTTTGCATAATTAAGAAAACACCCTGTATAACTTTTTAAATTAGACATTACTATAAAGAATAATAAATGAATAAATAAAATTTTACTTTGCAGAAAAGTTCTGTGAAAAATGCAGAGATTTTTTATAAAGATGGCAACAGCGCATCAAAAATTTGTTGGTTTCTATAGTGACAAACGTTTGAGTTTGAGTTTTCTTTATTGTTTTTAGTGATCACACTAGTCTGTGACTTTGAAATTAAGTTGGCAATATTGAATCATACATGAAAATTAACATATTTCTTTTTTGTTGCTCTATTATTTAATGTTAAAAAAAAAATTATCTATTTTTTTTTCAGAAAAAAAGTTTTATTTTGTTAATTTTTTTTTTTATTGTTTGCATTTAAGCTGCGACATTTCCAAGTTATTTATTTTTTTTTAATACATGGATTGCAAGTAAGGAAGATTAATTGAATAAAATTATGTACAGATGTTTATAAAATAAATATTTTAACATTTTTGGATTTAATTTTGGTTCACACTGTAAGGTTACTAATGCGGAAAAACCGTAATAAAATGGAAATTTTTGGCATTTACAATTTTTTTTCTACTACCTAATTTTTATTAGAGCCACTCATATGACGTAATCCGAATTAAAGGATAGTTAAAATTCCATTTGCTTGATTTTAATCGAATAGTTGTTTATTGTTCGATGTGGGAGGACATCGTACTGTTCAAATAGTAAAAATCGACGTAGTAAACATTGGTAAAAAGTTTAGTAATTATATTTAAGTCACCTTTGATACTCTTGTTTAATTTTTCAAGCCTTGCTAAGATTATCTTAAGAATAAACTGTTATAATACACAAAACGTGACAAATGAGGTATTAAAAACTTTGTGATAAATATTTAAATTGGGTGCGAGAGTTTGTGAACATTTTCCTTATTTTTCTTCGAGCTTTATCAACTTTAACCTACTTTGATGGATTTTTATGAAAAATTGATAAGGATAAGCGCGAGCATTTGTAAACTATTGTGTAATATACAAAGATCAGGTGAGTAATACTTATTAAATATTCATATCGATTCAGTAAGGGATATTTCCGCTTTTTTTTTTTTCATTAGAAATAATTACACTGAAAGCTATATTGAGTTTAACAATGATGTAATAAAGCACATCTGTGTCGAATTAAACGTAATGTCAAGGTTTTGGAAATACGATTTATATTTCAATCAAATGTAGTAAAGCAACGGAATCGAATAAGGGTGGGTTTTTCAGTAATTTTTCAGTGAGTGTTTTTGATGTTAAAAATATAATAATTATAGAAAAAAAAAACTTGTTTGTTCGGTGAGGTCAGGATTTATTCTATATTGATTTCAATAATAATGTGGAAAATATTGACATTGGGGAGTAATGATAGTGTTTAATTGGAATTGTATGTATTTTTGTGTCACAAATAACATTGTTTTTATGTTTTTTATGTATCGTGAACGTGTGGTCAGGAACAAGGTTTGTTGTGGTAGGTGAACACTGCTTTTTTTTGAAATCATAACAATTTCAATGCCGAATTTTAATTTTTTTTATCTTTGGAGGAAATGGAATTTGGTTTGACATTGATAAAATATTTTTTTAATTAATGAAATGATTTTATCTTATAATAATATTATTGTTTTTTCTGTTGATTAATTGCTGAAATTAAACGAAAAAAACAAATATTCTGTATGTCTCAAATATTGCTTTTTATTATTGTAATTTTATGAGAAAATTTATTGTTACAGAAATCTTTTTTTTTCACTACACTTTCGTATTATAAGTGCATTTGATTGAGTGTAGTGGCGAAAATGTTGAAATCATAATCAAAAACTTTTTTTTTTCATCCTAGACGAGTCACACATGTGAGTGGGTTTTGTATCATTGCTATGGAAACGCAACGAATTATGTGTGTAACTATGACAACAACAAAAAATTGACGTTATTATACTTATTGTTGCTATAGTAACAATAGAAAATTCAGTGGCAGTGATAAAACTTGTCAAAACTGTACAATAATAAATATTTTATTTTTATATTAATTATTACACTTTGATCTAAATAAAAGTGAATTCTTTATTTAATATTTAGAAAAAAAATGGAAGGTCACTCAATTTTTTAATAAAAATTTAAAAAAATATTTCAAATAATTTAATCACATAAGTTTTAATATAAAAAAACACGCAAAGTCGGATGTTAACTTACGTATTTTTGATAATTTGGAAAAACTTTTATTTTGATTTTTATGAAGGTTTGCGTCTTGGTTAATACTGTCAAAAAAATTCATATTTATTTTTTCTATAATAATTTTTATATGTAACTTTAGTGATCAGTCGAATTTTTAACAGTAATCGCTGTTATTATTATTTATTTAAAAAATAACACAAAATACTAAATTAGTAGAACCCTTTTCTCCAACCTAAACGAGTCACACATGTCATTGGCTTTGTAATGTTACTATAGAAACGCACTGAAGTTTGTGTATAACTATGGCAATAAGTATACTTGACGTTTTTGTTGCCATAGTAACAATAGAAAATCCAATGGCGGGTAATATATTTTTTTTTGTGAAATTTTTCTAAAAAAATATAAAATAATTGTTAACGACATACTAAGAAATCCAATAAACAGTATTTCAAATTATTACATTATTAAGAAATAATTTTTGTCTTGGTTAATACTGTCAAAAATAGAAATAGATTTTTTTACTATATAATAATTTTTGTATGTAACTCTAGTGATCATTCTTTGCGACTTGGCTAATGTTTTTTTTTGTTGTGAATTAATTAATTAAATTACGATAATTTAATTTTTACAATTATTCTCTAATAAAAAGTTTTTAACAACCAATTATTTTTTTCTCTACTTTTCTATTGTATTGTCAGAGTTATTTTTAACCAAACTTATCATTACACGATTTACGTTAGTTTGCGACTCACTATTCCAGAATTTGTCAGTTTTTATATAATTGTTTGTTTTCAAGTTTAAATCGAAAAGCATATTTATTATTCAATTATCTTGTTAATTGTTATACAGGGTGAGTCATTTATATATTTTCCTTATTTAATTTGTTTTGCTTGATTTAGATAAAACTATTTACATTTTGTGATACTTTTGCAAAATTTATTCTAAACAAGTCTGAAAACCAACTAGTGATACACTATTTAACCTTATTAGCTATTATTAAATTATATTAAATTCGCTAATTAGCTTCAAACACCATTCTAATGCATTTATTATTACTTTTAGGTGTACAAATCCAAACATCTCGACTTGGCTGCCTTTTAACCCAACCTTCAACAGTATGTCTTAAATCATCAGTAAAAAAAACCACACTATTCACATCATAAACTGACTAAAGACTGAAAAACCGTCCACGTCTCACGTGGCCTAATTAAAAAATCCAAGTATTTTTCATGAAATTAGAGAGAAAGAAAAAAAAATGGTATGCCCCTCCTCTCACATCAGTAAACTTCTCTTATCAATTTTCATCGGCGTCTTAATCTTTTACCTCTTCATGGATTTGAATTTATATTTACGCATCCAAAACTACCCTATTGAACGTGGGGACTTCACCGACAATACAACTCTCAAATACAGTGATGTCACTTGGATCACATGTAACATCAATCCTTTATGCGACGTTACTGTAAAAGCCGTACTGTTAGACCACACAAATTACTATTTGTTTGCCCCCTTGGTCACCATCATCGACAACATCCTCGAAATCTCCCACATCAAATACATCACACCAAATTCGATAAGTGTCTTCCACGTTTTCGTGGCAATTATCAGCGCCAAGTGTATATCAAGTGATAGTTTAGCGTATCGTCGTCTTGGGGTGTTGTTGTTTGAAGTGAGGACATTTCTTGATGATCTTGACGGTCACGTGGCCCGTGTTAGAAAAAATGTGAAAGGTGAAAGATCAGAAATTGGCTCGACGGGTTATTATGTTGATGGTATCTGCGATGCCTTTGGTTGTACAGCACTCTTGATTGGTGCATTTGTTTTTTTGAAAAATAATCCACCACGACGTGGTTATATACAATTGCCAACGTCGTCAAGTGATACCAAAGATGCGATTATCTATAAAAGTAAAATCACCTCGAATAAAGTGTCAAAAAAGTTGTTTTGTTTTGCTGCACAATTGATTTTGAGTTCGATGGCATGGAATCGATATATAGCATTGTATCAGGATATGTTAGAAAGGAATGATGTGTCAATTGAGGAGTTTGTAAGACAGAATGAGGTGTTTCAAAGTTCGTTTTTCTTTGGTGTCACATGGCTGTGGAGAGTTGTTAATGTGCACAATATGCTACATTGTTTACTTTTAGGGATTTTTTGTGATAAATTGTGGGAGTTTTTAAGGAGTGTACAATATATCGGATTTGTTGTTTTATTATTTGTTATTGGTATCACGGAGGTGAACGTTACGGAAGTTAAAAAGTTTGTCGTGAAAAAAACATTCACTAACAGTACGAATTTGTAACAGTATTCGTTGTTATTATTATGTATTTAAAAAATAACACAAAAGGCTAAATTAGTAAGTAGAACCCTTTTCTCCAACCTAGACGAGTCACACATGTCAGTGAGTTTACAATGTTGCTATAGAAACGCACTGAATGTTGTGTGTAACTATGACAACAAATATACTTGTCGTTATCGTTTCCATAGTAACAATAGAAAAACCAGTGGCGTGTATTTTTTTTTAATAAAATTTGTCAAATTGAAAATGAAAGAATCAAGTTCTAACATACAAAAAAATAATTATTTTCATGTGTGTTATTTTTTAAATAATATCACAATTTGATTTTGCTTGAAACTGATACACTTTGTACTTAAAATGTGTTCTAATGATAATTGCAGCTAAACATCAAGTCAACTTATTTTAATCTAGTGTCAGTGTAACTGTCAAAAACTTGTATTATTTTTGAATAATTTAATAATAAAAAAGCACAATTATTCCACTCTTTTGAGCGGATGTGGTTTTAAGCGGTGACAAAAATTAATCAAATTTAAAACTTTCCGCCGTTTTGCGGTTTTCCTCTTCCAAATATCTAATTTTAAAACGATATAACTTGTGATATATTTGCTTAGATCGTCTTAAAGACTGTGATCCGACCACATCCATGAAAAAACGAGTCAAAGTGACAGTTTTGGCTTACTGTGACTCGTTTATTATCTAGGCTTAAAAGTGAATCTTGTAGTTAAATAATCAAGGCTTAATTTTTGTGTCATTGTTGGCAAACTCAGGGCGAGATTTTTTCATATTAATCAATTATAATCCGTAAGATATAAAAAAAAAAACGAAATTTGTATTAGATTGTAGTATTTTATTCGTTTTAAAGCAATAATCACATCATATGCACTGAACATGCTAGTCTTTTGTTTTGTTTCTTGTAAGGTGCACTTCCGGCAATCATGATATTAATTTTGGCTCTTGCCAGTATTTTTTTTGTATTGTAGTATATTTTTGTTACGTGTACATTGGAATGGTGTTTAAGCTTAAATAAATAAGTTGCTTTATTAAAAAAAAAAAAACGTATTTTTATTTAATTTTTCCTTGAATAGTATATGATTGAAGCTGGATGGCCTGGACAAGTTGGAATATGTGAATCGCGACGAGTTGCTGCAATTTCATTAGCAAATCGAGTGGCTGATGAAACTGGAAGTTTAGTACAGGAAGATGTAGTCGGCTATGCTGTCAAATTTGATGCTTGTGTCAAACAACCGAAAATCAAGGTAACCAAACAATTGAAAAACTTGAGAAAATTATTTCGTTCTAATTTTAGTACATGACTGAAGGGATTTTATTACGTGAAATGATGTCAGATCCTTTACTTAAATCATATTCGGCGATTATGTTAGATGAAGTACACGAACGCACTCTATACACCGATATTTTAATGGGGCTCATGAAAAAAATATTGAGGGTGAGTTATTCACAAATTTTTATCCGAAACGATTTTTTGTTTTTTAGAAAAGACCCGAATTGAGACTTATCGTCGCCTCTGCAACCATGGATGCCAAAGAATTATTTGAATTTTTCAATAATAAAGACAGAAATAAAGATTCGGCCGTGATAATGACTGTGAAGGGGCGCCAATTCCCGGTCAATATTTTTTACACAAAAGGTGAGAGTTTAGTAATATCAATTCGCACGAGTTATGCAACCAGTTATACACGCGTGTGCGCAAGTATGCCAACCACTAGTTTTAAAAATTAATAAATTTTAGAACCTGTTCCTTGTTACGTGCAAAAATCCGTGGACACCGTCTTGAAAATTAACTCATCGAAAGAAAGTGGCGACATTTTGGTATTTTTAACTGGTCAAGAAGAGGTGGATCGTGCTGTGCGTCTGTTAAAAGAGCACGCAAATAACATCGAACAAGCGAAGAAAAAAGAATTAATGTTTGTTTTGCCAATGTATGGGTCTTTACCCTATCACGAACAATTAAAAGTGTTTAAATCAGCCCCTGATGGGTATAGAAAAGTTGTAGTTGCGACAAACGTTGCAGAAACATCGGTAACAATTCCTGGAATAGTTCATGGTATGAAAAAAAATTGTTTATTGTAAAGTTGTGACTTTTTTTTTTTCAGTTATTGATTGTGGTTTTGTCAAAATGCGTTGGTTTAACACTGAAACACACACTGATAGTTTGATTACGGTGCCAGTTAGTAGGGCTTCAGCTGATCAAAGGGCCGGTCGTGCTGGTCGAATGAAACCAGGACATGTCTATCGACTTTATACTGAAGAATCTGCATCGAAATTAGCTGAAAATATACCACCTGAAATAATAAGAACTAAATTAACGTTTGCTGTTTTGCAATTGAAAGCTTTGGGGATTAGTAACATTTTAAAATTTAAATTTCCAAGTCCGCCACCTGTTCAGAATTTGAAAAGTGCACTTGAGATTTTGTATGCTTTAGGGGCTATTGACATAAATGGCGAATTGACGAAGCCTTTGGGGTTTCACATGGCCGAATTCGCCTTGGATCCGCTCTATTCCAAAGTGCTTTTGAGTTCAGGTAAAATAATTAAATAATGACCAATTGGTATATATTTTTTTAGGTGATTTTGGATGTTCGGAGGAAATCTTGACGATCATTTCAATGTTGCAAGTCGAGACAGTGTTTACGAAACCCTCATCGGGGAATTTTTCTATCAAAGCTCGGATTCAAAAACGACTGTTTGAAGTGGAAGAGGGCGATTTGATTACGTATTTGAACGTGTATAATGCATTTGTTAGTAGTGAAATGTCGAGGGAATTTTGTCATAAAAATTTCATCAATTACAAGAGCATGAAACGAGTCGTTGAAATCAGAAATCGATTAGAAAAAATGCTTGTTAATTATGATGTTCCAATTGTTTCGTGTCAAGGTAATTAAATTATAATTTGGTAAAGTTTACTAATAAGTGATTTTAGGTGTTGTTGAAATTATTTGCAAGTGTTTGGTGAGTGGACTTTTTCCAAATGCGGCCTATTTGCACTATAGTGGAGTTTATAAAACGGTGAGAGGAGATATTGAATTGTTTGTACATCCTGATAGTGTTCTCTATACCATTCCACAACCACAATGGGTCCTCTTTTGCGAAGTAATGCACACCACAAAACTCTTTATGAGAGATTTAACAGTCATAAAGAGCGATTGGTTGTTGGAATTGGCACCGCATTTTTATTATAAGACCACATTTAAGGAATATTAATAATTGAAAACCCTTTTCTCCATCCTAGACGAGTCACACATGTTAGTGGATTTGTATCGTTGCTATAGAAACGCACTGAAGTATATATGTAACTATGGCAACGAATATAATTGACGTTATCGTTGCTATAGTAACAATAGAAAATTCAGTGGCGGGTAATAATTTTTAGGAATAGTATAGGAAATAAAACTAGTTTTATCTACAATGAAATTTATTTGTTTGATTCCAACCGCAATTTTTTCCTTTCTAAATACTCCTGAACATTATCGTATTTCCTCTTGTATAAAACTGTAATAAAATTGTGACAATCAGCGATTTTTAAAGCTGGTTTCGGTTCAGTGCGACTTGAATCACTACAATAGTCATAAATGGTCAATTTTGAATTATCAAAAATAAATAAATTCGTGGACAAATGAAATTTCAAAGGAGTTTCATCACATTGAATACTTTTTACGTATGTACAAACATGATTATCAAGTGACAATTTATATAATTGTATTGATTTGTAATTAAGTAACGAGACAGCAATAAAAACACCATCGCTACAAAAAGTTTGCATGTCAATGATGGGCAAAGCGCTAACATCAACCTTTTCTTTATCCATTTCCAGTGACAAATCCTTTAATAAATTTGCATCATCGACGTGATTATTGGTGTTAATGACACTCAATTGTTCCCCTTTTAAATAATCCCAAACTCTTAGAGTGCCATCACCAGAAGCAGAAACTAAAACATGTTTCACAAAATCAATCCTAGTCACAAACTCCTCATGCCCTAGACAGAAACTAACAATATTGTACGTATTTGGAAAATGTGAAACTCGAATTTTCTCGTCTCGATCACACGTCACAATGTACTTCCCACATTCACTTAACTTCATGTCCAAAATCATGCTTAAATGACCCAAAAGTAAAGTCGGTTCGGTTTTTTCATCGTTGAATTTATACAAAAACACATCACCGGTCCTGTCGGCGACTAGTATATCATCCTGATTAGTAAAAAGCACCTTACTTGCAGCCCTATTCACTATAAAATTTCTGATTAGATTTAAATTGTTGTCAAATAGAACAATTTGCTTGTTTTCGGTTGACACAACTATGTATTGCCCGGTTTGAGACGTGGCAAGGGAGCTAATCGTGCGGTCTTGCTTGTTGAGTACTTCAAGTTGTCCTTTGGTGAGATTTGGGGGCAAATTGGGGGCTGGGATTGTGACAGTTTGAGTGGTGCCTGAAGTGGTGTCAAGGGCAACGATGGTGTCCCCCGATGTTAGAACAAGCCGCGAATTCAATTCTTTGATGTTCATGGTGGTTCTACACCGGTTTATTTGAATTTGAAACACGTTGCAAGTTTGAGGTTAGGTGACGCATGACGTTTCCCAGAATCCCAAATTCTAATAAGTAATGCTAATTTGAAGTTGTGAAAATTGTCAATGGTGGTTGCTTAAAAAATTTGAAACTAAAAAATATGCTTGAAAATAGAAATTTGGTGTCGTTAATTAAATAATAACGTCACCACTAATTTAATTTAATTAATTTATTTGGGATTACATTTTTCGGAGTGATGCCAATTTGTGGTAATGAGAACTGTCAATGTCAAATACTTGTCACTTGAATTTTACCAAAAATTTTTTTCAGTGATTAGTTGCGATTAGAGTTTTGTTGTTATGCCGGTTCCGCACATTTCAAAAAAATGTCCCTTTGTGATTATAACAATCTGAAAGAATGGGCCCCCTTGACCGACTTATTCACCAAGTTACCGACAAAAATCCAGAATGGGCTTTTCACTCAAGAGGTGAAATTGACTTGTTTGGATGTCTTACCGGAATTTCTAGCACTGGGGACAAATGTGGGGCTTGTTTATTGGTACGATAGAAAAAAGAAGGATTTACAACGACTTCGTTGCGAGGTATTTGGAATTGTGTTGGTTTTTTTGTATTAATGATCGTTTTTGTAGAAACAAAACGTGCAAATAACTGTGGTTCGGATTATCTCAACTGTTGATTTTATGGTAGCTTGTGGGAGTAATGATGGAAGTATAAATATTTTTCAAATACCGAAATCGCATCCTGATTCAATTCCGGAGAATTTGAGACCGAAAAGTAAACAAGTGGAGAGGTTTACAGTGTCGGATTTGCATAAATGTGCAGTGACGGCGATTGAGTGGTCGAAAAACGGAATGAAACTCTTTTCAGGGGACAAAAACGGTTGTATTGTCCTCACAGAAATCGATTTTTACATGGTAATTGTCCCACACATTTAACACACTTTCAAATATCGAATTTTAGCACATTTGTAAATCAGTGGAAATTTTAAATGAATCCTATGAAGTGGTACAACTCAGTTACAGCCAACAACGACTCTTAGTCTCAACAACATACAGAAGTATCATTTGTCAAAGACATGGTAAATGGAAAGTGTGTCAAGTGGGCAAGAAAGATAGGAAAATGTAATGAAACCACTTTCGAGTTTACAACACTTAAAATTTGTTACAGTTTAGGCCCTTTTGGGGGTTTAATTCACCAAAATGGCCCTAAAACCAACGATGCTGTTTTGTATTGCACCAGACCGGGACTGAGAATTTGGGTGGCCGATTGTGACGGGAATGTTAATAAAACTCTCTTATTTAAGGTAGTTTCTCGTGGGGAAAAATCAAATAAAACAAACTTTTGTAGGATCTGCTGAAAAAAGAATGTACTGAAGTGCCAATAATCAATCCGATTTCTCGAAATTTAAAAATGCTCAAGCCGTTGAAAGAACCTTCATTTGGGGTCCTCCTCCCTTTCAGCCATAATTTGCTTTTAACGTACAATAATGACGTTATTTACGTCCTAGATCCGGAACAAATGACAATTATCTCAACTATGAGCCATTTTCGAAGGTAATTAATTACCAAATAAATTATAATAATTGATTTGAGTCGATTAAAGTGTGTTGTGTGTGGCCACCCACAAAGACGAGATTTTTATCCTTGAAGAAGATCGAAGTGTTGTTCGAATTTCGTACAAACCGGAAGAAACTTTCGATTGTGTGAATTCGGCGTCACCTGTCGCTAGTATGTTTCTTCCAATCACAACGTCCCTTAAAGATATTACAACTAAACTCCAGAGTGGGGGTAAACTCCCAGCCCCCCCAAATATCCACACCGATGAATCTCTTATTATGAACGCTGAAGAAGCCAAGGAATCCCCGATTAAAACACGTCCCGAAATCGAGAAAAGATTCAACGATATTGGTCGACAACAATTCGAGGAGAAAATCTTGTATAGGAAGAGTAGACACCGAAAGAGGATGTGTGCGAGTATGAGTAGTTTGAGTTCGAATAGTTCCGAAGAGAAGGAAGGGATTAAACCGACTTTGATGACGTTGAGTTCGGTGGGGGTTTTACCCGATTTGAGGAGTCCCGAATCGATACAGAACGATATCGAGTATAAAGAGAAGATTCTTGCCGATATGTTGAGTTTAGATACGATTAAAATATCATTAGATCAATTACAAGAGAATAATAAGAGCTGTGATGATGATTTAAATGAATCCAATATTGAAAGCATTCCGGAAGTTAGTCCACCACAAAGTTGTAGAAAAAGTAATGGGGACAATGATACACCCCCTGGTAAGGTGAAACAATACATTTTTGCGTTTTCATTGGTATTTTTAGTGTGTTTGAACATTCCGAATGAGTGGAAATTGGCCGATATTCAGTTAAATGTTAAAACTGAACCAGTAAATGTGAAAAATGATACGTCAGTCGCTGATAATTCGTTAACGGATTGGGAAATCATATAAAGTGGGTCACGGTTACGTACAATTCGGACTGTATTTCTAATTTTTTACTAGTCATTTATTTTATTGTGCAATTTAGTACTCGATTTTTAACGTATGAGCCAAAAATATGATTTATACGTGAGGCTCTCTTATTTTTTGCTCATATGGGCTTAGGGAAATAAAATTATAGTTGAAGTGAGATTTATTAACAAATAAATAAATATTTGGAACAAATTTATAGTTATGTATGCAGCCAATTATACACGTCCGGGTGTATTTCTAACAGATTGGTATTTCTTTTTTTTACACTTTCAATTTTTATTAATTTTCACTTGTTATAAAGCAATTTAGTGCCCAAAAGCCAAAATTTATCACAAAATGCGTTTTTTTTTTTATACCAGCTAGTTATGTATTTTTTCTTAGGTTGGCAGTTGAAATCTCTCTGTTCTGTGGTTGTTAGTGTTCGTTCTTACCGTCCTCGTGCGTTCAACTCCTGTGGTGTAGTTTTTAAAGTTTTAACATTTTATTATTTTATTTACTTGAATCAAGTCATAATGTGTGACGTAAAGCGCCAATTATCTAAAATGAACGAGTTTGATGAAGAAATGTAAGTCCAATGCAATTACCATAAAAAGTCATAAAAAGCGTTTCGATTGTAGTTTCAAGGGCAAGCCATGGGCCGAAAAACTCCTGGCAGACTCGATAAGCACCACAAAAAGGGCCGTGTCGAACTGGTGCAATATCGTGTGCAAAATCGGCGAAGCCACCAAATTGAAAATCTTTATGAGGACTTAATTGCCGACATGGACACCATCCAAGAAAAAATCTACGACCAAATCATGATCTCATTGCGGAAGCTCGAGGATTTGGGCCATGACTTGCACCTCCAAGTCCCCACTTTTAACTACGAGGGGATCCCCTTGTGCGAGCTCCACCGCCAAATCAGCCTAAAAGTCGAGGAGTACGAAGTTTTGATCCAAATTAGACGCCGTGAGGTGTCGGAGTTAAGCCAGAGACAGGTCAAATTGTGTGCAAGTCTGGGGCGGGCACCCAGACCAACCCTCGAGGAGTCTCCGCTGCCTCTGCCTAGCCAACTGGAGGAGTTCCGGGCATACGTCGAGGGCTTGGAGTCCGAAGCCCTCAAGCGTGAAGAAATCTTCTTCCAGTTGAAAGAAAAAATCGTAGAGATTGTCACCGAATTGGACGTTTGCCCCAATCTCGAGTTCGAAAAAGACGTTTTAAATTTGACTAACACTCAAGTCATGATCACGGACGCCGAGATGGCCCAACTCCGGGAGTTCCACGACCAGTTGGTCACACGTCTATCAAGTGTGAAGGAAGAGATTGGAGAATTGAGGAGCAAAATCGACGACTTGTGGAAGAAACTCGGGATTGATTTGGTTGAGCGGGTTTTTTTCCTYCAAAACAACACSGGTCATTCATTAAAGACSCTCGATGCCCTYAAAATTYAGTTAAATCGGTTAGAYGAGATGAAAAAGGCCAACTTGAGGAATTTTATTGAAAAACAACGAGCCGAGTTGGTGGAATTGTGGGACAAGTGCCATTGCACTCAAGAACAGCGTGATGTTTTCACATTTTATCACTCGGAGTG